GCTCTCAGTATTCTCTGTTGGGAACAGCACCAGGACCTTTACCTTCAGGGTTTTCAAACTGCGTACTTCAGTGGGAAAGCTTTTCCCAGGCTCGCTCAGTGTCTTCCGCTGCTCCCCCTGTGATGCATCGTATCTTAGATTAAATCTGCTCCCATTCATTTTAAAGAGACTATTGCTCAAATAAAGGATTGTGTAAAGCTTAAAGCCTCACTGATAGCAAATAGCACACAGGGGCTAGCACAGCCTGGACCAGAGTAAAAATACGGAACAATGTAAGACTGGGGGAATGGGGAATGTAGGTAAAGGGCCTATAATTTTAAATTAAAAAGTTAAATAATAAAATTAGCAGCAACAAAAGAAGTTTTACTGCCACCCATCACAACCTTCTTCCATTTATGAACCATACCTGTCACAATTCACTGTTTGTCCATTTAGTGTGTTCACATGGAATCAACTAAAAGTGTCAAACAAAAGGAAGTTAACCAATTTTCATGTAGGTTATTTATATCTAGGTCCCAGAGTTGACAGTATAATTTATTAAGTATCTCACCCTGTATAGTGACGTTTTTACTAATTAATATGGAGCCAGCTATACACACTGCATATGTACAGGTATTTTCATAAGGCATATAATATCTTTGCATTGAAAATAAATGAACATTATTTAATTTAATATATACTTTCTTTGAGGTGTTTATGAAAATATTTTTTCTCTATATTTTTGTATGTGACATGATAGAAATATTTCATGGGAAGTACAGGTTAATATATTTTATCTTTATAAAGGCATATACAACTTTGAGGCAGTGTTTCTGATGGACAGCAGAATTCCTAAAGAATTTGTATGTGCTTCTGTGTTTTGAAATCATATGAAATTGACTTTAAGAAGTAACTTGATTAAAAAAACGCACCAATGCACAGCCAGAGGCTGACAATTAAAACTAATACATAGCCACAGGAACAATATATTTATATAGTTAATATATTTTTTTCAAGATGATTGGTACTAACATATAGTATTATACATTTGGCACTACTGTTTGCCATTGGTCCAGCAATTGGCAAAAAATTTGTTTCCTATGTATAAATCTGTTTGAACATTAGATCTGGCTAGACATATTTACTATTTATAAAAAAATATTTAGACAGTAAGCTCACGTTGAATAACTAGGTCTACTGTATTCTGGAAACTCTTCAGTAGTAATACAGCTTTCTCATGTTCCATATGTACAAAACTGTGTCCATTTGCCTGTAAAACAAAAACAAGGAGAAATCAAATGAGATTCTATTTAGTGTCTTCATTTTGGGGGAGCAAAAAAATTAAAAACAAGGCTAAAATAAATAATAATCATATAATGATTTCCCACTAACAGGAGTTTGACTGTACCACTGAGAGAACACATTCCTCTCTCCCTCCGTTGGACAGATACCCCACCCCCCCTGCTTTGACCAGGGACTGGACAAGATGATCTCGAAGGTCCTTTCCAACTGAAATTATTCTGTGACTCTATGATATTCCGCATATTTTCTGAAGAAACAGTAATGCTGGGATGTAAGAGTTTCAAATGCTGTGAAGCCCAAAGAAAGTTAATGCTGCCAGAATGCATTGCTGACTACAAAGGAGGCTCTGGCTCAGATCAGATCCAGACATACTGCGTATACAAATAGGGAAAAATTTACTGAATAAACTGTTCTGCTTTAGTGCTAATTAAATCTCTTACAGTCTGTTACAACGCTATTTAAAAGAGTTAAATTTTAAACATAATTACCAACAGTTTACTGAGTGTGATCAATAAGCCAAAGCAGAAGATCCACCGTTCTACAGAATAAAGCCCGTGAAGGTGATCAGTTACCGAACAAAGACAACGCTCGCTGCAGACACCTGCCATTCAGCCATCCCTGGAAGCCTCAAGACCACTCCCTAGGGGCCAGGTAGGTCCTCAGACTCCCGTGGCCCTACTGCAGGTCTTGCACACAGCTGGGTAAGAGCTCAGCTGGCTCAAAGCTCCCCCTTCCCTCCCCAAAGACACTGGCAGAAACCTCCACTGTCCTTCACCCGTGGAGCCCATCGCTAAAGGCACAGCGAGACCGTCTGGGAACTCACGGGCATACAGCTGGGACCGGCGCTAGCAGTGGTTATGGAGGCTGCTGGGGCCGAGAAGGTAATTGAGAGACGGGCTATAGGACTGTCCGTGGCAGAATCTGGTCTCTCTAGCTTACAGCAATTCTATAAACACACTGCACTTTAACAAAATACACACATATATATATTTTAACTAACATTTAAAAATAGGTTAGTGAAGCCTTCATGCTTTGGTTAATAAACTACCGCTGCTGTGAAATTACAGCCCCGTAGAAGAACTACCAGACATCTGTTGCACATATCCAGACCATTATACATTGCTATCTTCTTGGCCACAACAAAACCATATACTACGCCATATTATATATGGCAGACAGACTGCAAGAGCCACCCCGTACCAGCATCCAGCACGGCTGAGGTATTGGACAAGCAGCACGAAGTGGCTGCCAGAGCCCCGCAGGGTGCTCACGTCTCCCCAGCCCACCCATGCCCACTGCCGGTCGTCTCCTCGCAGAAGTTAAGATCCTCCCGCAGGACCAGGCGCTTGCTGAAAGGACGCCCCACGCCCTCTCGCGGTATTAAAAGATGCCCAGCCCAGAATGACAATTAAAAGCAGCGCTGCGCACACATCCCTACAGGAGCGGGAAGCCCATGAGCGTGGTGGTGCTTTCTTGGCACTTGAAGGTTTCTGTTCAAAGGTATCAGTTGCTGCGAGCTCTAGTGCAGGAATGGCAACGGGCAGGCACAGAGCACAGAGAACAGGCAGCATCCCAGCGATAGTGGAAAGTAGCTCACTTTTATTCAGCTTAATACAATATAATATATGTGCTCTGAGAAACACAAACACAAATTTCAGGCAGGAAAAGTTTCAAAGACATTCACTTATGTGCCAAAATTAGGCAGCCATTGGGCATTCAATTTGAGGTCAGCTCGGACTCTGATGTAACTCAAAGTGACTGAAGAATTTTCAGTTTATTCACCACACAGCTCACTGGGATCTGTATTGCTCATTCAGAAAAAAATAATAATAAAAGAACCTGCAAACAAACCTGAGAGCAGGCCAGCTCTGCCTACTCCCCTTCTCATTTTCAAGCTGCGCAGTGAGGCGCAGGAAAATGTTGTGCAGGTTCAGCTCTAGCTAGCGGAGAAACCTCTTTCCTACAAGAAAAGTTTCTCAGTGGAAGAGGGCAGTAGGAGATACACATCCAAAAATACCTAAGCAGGCCACACCTAGAGGGATTTGTTATTTAACATATAAATAAATGATAATCGGAATCTACTTCTTTTACTCCTGCTGTGGTCTCATGTTCCCCACAAAGTATGCTATGAAATCCGCATATATATGTACACATTGAGTTATTATTTAGTTCTAATTATTAGACAGAAAGAAGAGTTTTTAGCTGAATTATGGAACCACCAAAACAAGATTTCTTAGAATTGAAGGGCAGCCTTTAACATATGGTGGCAAAATTATACAACACGGCTGATAGAGCTGCTCTCTCCTTGCTGACAGCCTTAGCAGTCATACAACTGTGTTCCTCCTTAAAAGTCATCTATGAAAACTGCTGCTAATTTTATAACAGAAACATCATTCTTACTGATCAAATAAATTACTTAAGAGCTTATGTCACAGAAAGGAAAGATACAACGTTCTGCTCCCCCCAGGATCCCAGCGGGGCCGTGGGCTTCTGGACTTGTAAGGACCAGAATTTGTTCACTGCAGAAGACACACAGACACTCTTCTGTCAAAAATAGGCATCGGGCAAAACCATGTTTCAGAATGACAGTTTCTCTGTGAGCTGGGTAAGTCCACCCAGGGAATGTCAAGCCTTTTAATTTTTAAAGTTTCTAAAGTTCTTTTACCAAAACTGCTTGGAGAGACACATAAATGTGTGACAGAAACATTGCTGCTTCTCCTGAAAACACCCTGCTAAGCAAATTCTTCCATGTAAATGTTTAAAAAAATTCCCCTTGGAGCCTTGGTCTGATAATATCTTCCTGTGTATCATCTTGAGTAAACTGAATTCGCTGCATGGGAGCACAAAAGGTGCACAGACATCGAGTTGCTCCAGTAATGGTGACACTGGGGTTACCTGCCATGATAATACATAAAGGTGCCAGCCAGTAATGCTGGGGGCTGAGAAGGTAATCGAGAGACAGTCTACAGGGCTGTCCGTGGCAGAATCTGGTCTCTCTAGCTTATAGCAATTCTATAAACACACTGCACTTTAACAATATATATATATATATTTTTTAACTAACATTTAAAAATAGGTTAGTGAGGCCTTCATGCTTTGGTTAATAGACTACCACTGCTGTGAAATTACAGCAAAAGTGTCAGACAGACATGACGGGAGGGAGAGTCTGTAGCACGAAGATTTAGCTGATACTAAAAGCAGGATCACGGGGCAGACTGCGTGAGGACAGAGTGGGCTGAGACTGAGGAAACACAGGAAGATGGTTCCTCCCTCGGAGTCCCAGCAGAAACTGGTGTCACAACCAGCACATGTGTGGGAGACAACAAGTGGCACAGATAGCTATAGATGCCAAAGAAGAGAGATTATGGGTGAAGAGGAACCTCCTGGTATTACAAAGCCCTAGTCTCTGGCAGGGGATTGTCTCATGAGATAAATGCAAACAGAGGTGATGGTAATAGTGGAAAATGGGGGTGGAGGTAAGGTGATGCCAGTGAGTATTAATAATTTCAAGTTCTTACTGCCTAGGGAACTGGATACTTTTAGCATTGCTTATATTTGAGAAGTAAAATATCCTTCATCACAGTTATGTTTTTTTCTCTGTTAATTCCTTCATGAGATTAATGACTGCCCTTTTACTTGACGCAATATAAATCAACACCTGGTAATAGGTATTATGCATGGGTAGAAGTAATTGCAAATAAAAGGAAAATGTTCTTGCCAGAGAATTTGAAATGATGTACTGACAGAGACAAATGAGAAACCCTGCTGAGACTGATCCACAATCCTACGAGAATGACTGAGAGTACGAAGTCAAACAAACTTCATCAACGTAAGTGATCAATAAATCAGGGGAGTGAAATTTGCTACCTAAAAAAAAATGCAGCAGTACCTTAAATGTGATTATATAAATCTTCGTAAATGCTCCTATTTTAGGAACACATGCTGAAACATGAGAAATCCCAGCTCCTGATGGCCTGTGCCCATCAGGAGAAATCATTTGACATTACAATTTCTATAAAATAAATGCAGGTCAAAAGTGTACAGGCTAGGCACGCACACACAACAGACCTGTCCCTGCACAGAACAATACAGCCCCTGCACGACTCTGTTAAGACTACTCCCACAGCGCATGCCCACTGCTTGCCCCCACAGCCAGCCTTCTCACCTTATTTTCATGTTACATTTTAACATATTTTACTTATTTTTGTTTCTGTTACTAAGCTCAGCTTTCAATATAGCACCTTGATTATTCTAAGTATCTCTAGCAACTTTTGTACTTCATTTAGCTTCACTATTTTCTTTATTTCACTGGTTTTTGAACATACTAGCAATTAAACATGAGTTGCCTATTGTAGACTTCAGAGCTGGTAACAACTGCAGTGCCCGTGCTGAGTAGGAGGGGCAGGGGGAGCAGAGAGGGAGGCAGGAGGAGATAGGCTACGGAAGACGTTTGAAACATCCTTGGTTTGCTGACTTCCTTCATATAACCGATTAGAACACAGTTAACCTCTTACCCTTGATCAGTGTGAATGGCTTTAAAAACTGTTACAAGCCTTTCAGACAACTATAATGACTCTTTGCCTTTTTTCAAAAGTAATACTATTTGCTGCCAGTGGTAACACATTTTCCAGGCTTAACAAAAAAAAGAAACAACCTTTTCTACATGGACAGCCGTTATTTTCTGTGAATGAGGAAATTTTGAAAGGTATGTTCAGGAATAGCCTGTCTTCCCATTTAAAAAGTTCACTGGAACACAGAAAATATTTGTTACAGAAACAAAAAAGAAAATAAAAAGCTGAGATTTCCCTGTAAATTATGCAGATGCTTCCATGATCCAGTAGTGGATCCAGCAGTGGCTGTTCTTCATGCGAATGCATTCAAAAATGCTGAGGCAGCGAATCAGAGGCAAAAATATCGCCAGGTACAGTTCCGTCAAAAAATGTGACTATATAGCTCCTTACACCAGTGTCACATCAGCTGCAAAGGTGAAAATTATAAACATGTCTTGCTTTGTCATATACTTATGCTTGTGAAACTGCTTGTAAAGCTCCTTTCTCCCTGCACCTTCTTGCGCTGTTAGTGTGGAAAAGCTGGCTATGATGTAAGGATTATTTTTATTTTAGACTTTAAATTGTGTCACCTGGATCATTCCTGTGACAGGTTGTAAGCATTAACCCTTTCCTGCAGTGCCATTCCCTCCCAGAAGGCTGGTGCTGGCATCCATGTGCCTCATTCAGTATCCCTGGGGAGCAGAACCTGGCAGGCAAAATGAAGGGCAGTCCGGCTCCTTGCTGTGCTATGGTCCCTCTGCTCTCAGTGTGCTCCCCGGGTTTAATTCAGCTCCCCGCTAGTGGCAGGGGAGTTGCCAGACAGCACACCCCAGTGCCTCTTTTCCACGTCCCCGGTTTGTTTTCAAACAGCTTTATTCCTTCCTTCTGAGATCAGCTTTCAAAAGCACTGCGAGTAACACTCTGTTCTAAATCAATATTAAAGTACCGTAATAAAACCAGCAGTCAACTTGTACTGAAAACAGTATCATTGTGCTTCTAAGATGCAAAGGCTTAGTTCAGTTACAAAGCAGTTAAATCCATCCATACCTGGAGGATCTTATCGCCAGGCTGGAGCAGGCTGGATGCTGGTCCGTCAGGCTGAACCCTAGTAACAAAGATACCCTATAAGTCAGAAGTAACAGAGGTTAGGATGCTATCACCAAGAACTAGTTCCCAAAATACAGGTGTCTCCCTAACTGGTGTCTGGGGGCTTTATATACTCTGGCAATGGTCTAATACTAAACTCTTTTTTTAATCTGTTTGTAATCAAACAGTAGTACAGGTTTGTAGCAGCTCTCCATGACCTTCAGCAAGTTATCGCCTGAGAAAATATGATTGTGGGTCATTCGAAACTAAGATTCCACATTACAAAATAATGTCCTTTTTGAATAGGGCAAGAGTAACAGGGTTATCAGGAAGATAATTAAAATGGAGCAAGGATTAATTTATTAGAATAATGCATACTATAATCTATACAGTAATATTTTTCTACTTCCTCTAGGGAAAAAGAATTTAAAAAAATTTCTAAAAAGCAGTCTTGATATTCAGCCCTTGAGATATTTAGTATAATGGTCTGTAGGACTGTCACTTAACCCAGTGTCTGAGGAGTGAATGACTTTGAAAGGGGAAAAATTATTAAGTAATAAAGGATATTTTTAGATTCGTTTTCAGAATTTCAGTAAAATCTGTTAATAAAACCCAAAGTCAAAGATTGAGTTCCTAGATGATGAACACGTTTGAAATATTACCCATACAGCTCATGCAGTCCTGTACTTCTGCAACCTCAGTCTCACTTTCTCTGCTGTGCTTACCCTGCTGCCAAGGGTAAATATCTTTAAGCAGACTCTAAAACTGAGCATAGGCTAAATTTTAGCCATTTACATTGCTCCCAGAGACACCAGGGAAATTCCCTGCTTGGTACCATCATGCAAATCATGTGCGTCCTGGAGAGATTTTATAGCCACCTGGAGCAATGTACTGTCCAGTATTTCTGTTAACCTTATAAAAACCTGAGCTCCTTGGGAGCAGAGCGATGGGGTGCTGGTATTTCATCCATGTGCCATTAACTTGTGACGCAAGTCAGCCATTCAAAATGACTGATTGCTTCTGGGCTTCCTGCTGCTTGTCCTGTCCTTTCCTCTCAGCACAGCACCCTCAGCACCTCAGGGCAGGGGTATATCACTATGCAGAAGAGCGCTCACTGCCATCCCCACTGATTCCATCTTATAGACAGAATGGTATCATATGCGTGACTTAAAACCATCACAACGACTGGCATGTATGATGAGAGACATCGCTTCTGTGATATTTAAAACATGATAAATCTGATTTAACGGTGAGGGGAGCAATGTTTCAGAGTAACGACACATAAAAACACTTTGAACTACTAATCCCCGCTCTGACACTCCCTTAGTACACAATTTTGCATTTCTGTTACTGGTAAAATTAAGTCTATCTACAGCTGTTATCGCACGGCATGTACTACTGGTGTAGACACATTCATAGTGGAATATAGACTCTTCTTTAATGATTTCAGGCAAGTGTTAGACAGTGGAAGTATAGCTTAATTCTAACATCATACATTAAACTGTGGAAAAAAAGACCACAATGTTATAAAGTGTAATTCCAGTGTGCAGTCTCAAAGAAGGACACCACAAATTAGTATGCTTTAAGGAATAGTTGTTAAAATGCCAGATGGTTATGTACATTAAATGGAACTATTCTTGAAGTTCAAAACAGGGACTATCAATGAGAAAATTGAAAGGAATTAAGATTGTGTTAGATTGATATTTCCCAGCGTATTTTACATTTGCAATTAGCTTTCTGTTGTAATTCAGAGTGGTGGGGAAATTATTTTTTTAATTTGCATGCAGATCTCAAATTTTTGAGAAGAGATTAAAAGATAGTTTTAATTTCATCATTTGCCAAACATCCTCAATATTTATGGAAGTTATGACTGCCTCTTAGAACTGAAGGCAGTATTATCAGAGAATATAAATGTTAAGAATACGTTTAACTGAGAGGTACCCATAGTACTTGTTTTTCAACAAGCTCCTGTCAGTTTTACCGCACAGAACAGATAATTCACACGTCTAAGAATCCATGTCCTAATCCTAAAGCCCTGTGTAGCTGATAATCACCAGATGTTGTATTTTTACTAGGCTTCCTTTTACTGTAAAGAGATTTATCAACCTCTTAAGTAATTCCCAGAACGAATACTGACCATCATGTATCATAATTGTGTAATTTTTAATTAGCATTACAGAACAGAAGACTGCTTGCCATGGTGTTTGTAAGGCACCGCTGATCTCCAGACCAGTTGCAGGCCAGGCCAATTTTATTTGATACAGCTGCTATAAACCCCGGCATTTCAGCTACCTAGTGATGCTACTACTAGTTTAGTATTCCCTCTAATGACTTTAGTGGAAGTTTAATTAGGGCCTATATTGACTCTTAAAAGAAAAAAGTGAGAGAGATGATTGTCCAGAAAACAGTCTCAAAAATTATCTTATACATGGAATATAAGGCAGACACCCACGTGATTTCTGTTTTGATTCTCTCGTCTTCATCAACCAGGAAAAAAAAAACGAACAACACTCCCCTAACAAAAAAAAGGCAAGTATGGGAAAAATTCTTTCAATTATCACAACAGAAGTGCATAAAAATTTCACTCGTGTTATCTATGTCTCCACTATATGGCACACTAAAACAAGGACCGTTTAGAGAGAAATTTATAACTTACCTTATCAGAAGGTTTGAATGGATTTCCTTGTCCACTTATTCCACCACTGATACTAAAACCAAGGCCAGGATTCTTCTCTATTCTCACACAAAACTAGGTTAAAAAGATATGGTAAGATAAGTCAATGCCAACATTAAAGCCTACCTAAACAATGGCGTCTTCTTCTCATATATCCCATTTCACCATTAATGAGATGAGTTGACCCGCTCAAAAGCTGCATTGCACAATACAGTAAAAGTCAGTTCAGTAGAATATTGTTATAAACTGCAAGTATTTTCATGATTTTAGCATGCTGCAATGATACCACAATATTCACAGTGCTGCATGTATTTTTGCATATATTTTAAAATTTTATTTTCAAGGAGAAAAAAAAAACCTTTAGACTTGTGAAAGAGCAGTTCACATTGGCCAAATTTTTTTCACTTAAACATCTGTCAGTGAGGCTTTATCTTGTGCACTTTTATTTTTCCAGAAGGTGTCACATGTGCAGCATCCCTGGGTGCTACGCTTGGGACAAACCCAAGGAATAAGTACTCTGAAGCTCAGAGATCTCCAGACCACTGTCAGTATCAGGGCCACAGCCCCGACAGCCTGCACTGAGCACCAACTACTTTTACAAGCGCCTTACTTCAGGAAATAGTGCTGAGTCTTATCTTTTAGCCAGGATGACTCTAAATGGCATTGGGTAATTGAATATAAAATAAAAATGACTTCAGTGTAGCTTAATGACTACTCACTGAGCCAGTCTGAGCATGTCCTTGAGCCACACAAGCAATTGCTTCTGAATCTCAATGCTACACTCAGGGAGTTAATACAGGCAGCTACTTGCGTGGGTCGTCCAACACTTTACACAAGAGAAAGGTTTACTAATGATTCTGAACCTTACTCTGCAAGTCAGGTGCCTCAAACAGTTATTGCATTAATCATTAAGGCCAAATATAATGGGGATAGGACCACTTAACGAAGAAACTCATCAGCACCCATTTTGTTAGGCTGGGGGTATTGGAGCTACAGCTGGCCTTTCTTGGGCTAAACTGGAGCAGCCGATACAAACTGGGGAAGGTCAGAGTCTTGCCAAATATGCTGCACTGTTAGCACTGAGCTAGGTTACTGCGGAACTGGCAGAAATTACACATTAATTTAGTATGACCCAGTGATGTCAGCTCTGTTCAGGAACTTCAACGCTAAATTGTGTTGCTTGGTCAATCCAAGAAAAAAATGGTATCAGTCCCTGGTGCTGGGGAAGGGGACAGACCTGCTCGCCTGCCTCCAGCTCAGCCATGCTCCCCCATGCTGTCTGGGCAGCTGCCCTCTGTTACTGCCCTAGGCTCCCTTTTCCCCCTGTATACAAGGCAGAAAAAACCAGAAAGTTTTTGTCCAAGTGTTATTTTATAGACACACTTTCTCACCTGCTCCTGATATGCATCCGTACTTCTCTGACCCTTGGTTTGGATTAAACATCGCCCTGTCTGAGGTGCTCGAGAGCTCTGCGAAGAGGGAATCTGAATAGGCAGTGGTGGCTGAAACTGCTGAATGGTGACTTTGTTCATGTTTCCTTCATACTGCTGCTCGCGGCTCCGATGCTGTAGGCTTTGTGATCCCATTAAAGTCTGGATATGGCTACCTGCCTGTGGGTAACGTAACCCGTTAGGCCAGAAATTCAGGAAGCTGAAAAGAAGCAATTATTACAACTTACAGAGTCAAGTAAAAGCAAACCTCTTAAATCATATCAGAGGTTTGCCTTTTGACCACAGTTGGAAACAACCGTGATTAAAAGCAGCAAGGATATGCCCATTGCATTCAGTGACTCTAGGAGGTTTAAGGGAAATTAGCTGTATACAGTACATTTTATAAACAGAAAATATTTTTTTCCTCATGTCATGATACATGCTTCTGCTCCGAATGTTTTGTGAACTGAAAACATTTAATAAATTGAAGTAGGGTGGATTATTCATCACAGCACACTCTGGAGATACTGGAATGTTTTTTTTTCTGAGGATCATTTGGAATAAGATTTATAACCCAAATACAGATATTGGCCAGTATTGTGCACTGTGTATGGAAAGCAAAATCAATTAAATCCTATGCCTTGTCCTAGGAACAAATGTGGCTTTTACAAAATGTAACTAATCAAATTACCAAATTTCTATGATAATATCTACTGATTTGAAGCTCTAATATTTTGTAAATATAAGTGAATTACTGCATTTACATTGACTTGGCCTTTTGATATTTTCGGAAAAAAAAGGATGACTGCTGTCATTCTTCTATCCCCTCCATCCCCATTGCCTTTCATGTTTGCAGATGAGGTTTGCTTTCTGTATTCTGTTCTTGACATGGTAAAGTTGCATACTTGCTTACTCTTCAATACACAGTCTCTGTTTAGGCACATGAATTATGTAAACATTTGAGGCAAATCTTTGCAAAATAAATTCAGTTGAGACAATTTTATACTTTTCATATTTACAGGATTCAGATGATGTTGCTTATAAATAATCGCATGCAATTTAGCAGTAAGGGAACAAGGAAAAATCATGATCCATTGTATGATCAAATATTATTACCTCCACGAAATCTCATACCAGTTTGCAGAGTTTTCAGATTATGTGCACCCATCAACCTGTGCTATTATTTGAACAGCCTGAATGTGAAAGAGCATTACGACTGCGTGTCACAATATCTACAAGTCTCTATTGACAAAACAGACCTACTTAAACGACATTTCACATTAAGTTTTCATCAGCCAATGACACAATCACGTCTCGTCATGAAGGTCTAATCCTCAGCACTACTGAACCTTTATGATCCTGGTGGAAGAGTCACCAATTGTGAGACTGTATTTTAGACACGATTAAATTTAATACAGCAAAAGATCAAAACATTTCTTATCCATTGGCCAATCACCTGGCCTCAGAAGTTATAGCAGCCAGGACATTAGAATTAATTGCTTGCTGCCGTAGAAAAAATACATCTTAATGGATTTCCAAGATTTGTCTGCACAACACATCATTAATACAGATGCAGTTGGAGCTATTCATGTCACTGAACACAGAATCCCAGTAAGACAAGCAGTGACTGCGAGCAAAACTGATCTGCTCTGTCTTATGTTTTTGCTGACTACATTTGAAGAAAGGGACTAGGTAGGATATATTTCTGACAGTTCTTCATTTTAGTATAAGAGGGATAGTCTCAAAATGAGTAATGATGAGAAATCTCTTGCTCCTTGTGCCCAAATCTTCAATCCCCAAACTAGTCTTAAAACACAGCTCACCTGTGTACATGAAAGTGCTTAACAGACACTGTCAAACTGGCAAGAATAGCCTGGTGAAGCCAGTCTGTACTGCGAACACCCCACTTTACAGGTCAGAGAGATCTTCAACTGATCCAAGATCAGAAGGGAAGAAAAATGCTCAAGACAGACTTTTTAGCTATTCATTAACTCCGTAGTAGCAACAAGCTGTGCCCGCAGTGGATTGCTGAATCCGTGTCACCCTGCACTGCGGAGATGCAAGGTGAGCAGGTGACTGTGTGCAGCACAGTTCTGTACTTCATGTTGTGTCAGATACTCATCACAAGAGGATCCAAAAAAAGCAGAATCTCATAAATTCTGCTATTTGCCCCATATCCACCACAGCAGTCCACAGCAAGTGCATTGTCTGCCTCGAGGAAGATGTCTATTTCAAATACAAAAAAAATGGTGCTTCTTCACTGAAAAACTTCAAATCTTCTTTATGAGGTTAAAAGACCTCCGGATTGAACAGCAGATGCTGGAAATGAAACAGAAAGAGCCTCCAGTCTCTCAGTTGTGGCTAACAGAAATACTCCCAAGTCAGAAAGGGAGAGAGATGGTGACTTAGACACTTTTGTACGTCCCAGTTTTGAGGCAGCTGCCTTGCTCCAGTTCCATATAGCATATACTCCTTCCACGTCCACCGAGACCATTACAGCCCACGCAGGGATCTCCAAGAGTTTGCATGGCTTCAGCCTTCATGTGGGCTGCTGCGATCCTGCAGCAGAACAGGCTGACTAACACAGTCCTACGCATCCCCAAACCTGCGTAGCTCATCATCTTAGAGGGTCGTTACACTGCACCGAGGCTGGCCGGCCTGTTGTCTGTTCATTTTCCATCTTCATTCTCACTCTTCAATCTCTCTTTTTCATAAGGAGTGATTTCCAGGTTCCCTTTTGGTGATGCCCTGCCACACTTCTACCCCTTCCCTTTTTATGGAGGAACAGCTAACTCAGAATACAACTGATGTAATCAGGCATGTAGCTGACTTGTTGACATGACAGAAAAAGTCATCTTCCAGGAAGCATAAATACTGTAGTCTTTTAATAAATCAATGGATTATTCAATTTTAATAATATCCAACTTTTCCGTAAGAGAAATAGCCCATAAATTACGGAATGATCATATAAATGATCATACTTAAAATAAAATTAGCATTTTATCTGTATTCTGAACAGCAAAAAGGACAGAAACAACCACTCACACACCACATAATTATGTAGTGATTACTGCGTAGTATTCCCACCCTACCTAACATACATAAATAGCCATCGCTACACGTATTGTAGCCCTCTATGTGTGGATAATTTAGGAACATATATTACTGTGTCCTATGTACTACATTGGCCTGAGTACACAGTCCATCTGTCTGTAGTACACGCTCTTCCCCTTGGAAAAACAAGTCCAAACTCTTCTTCCAGTGATTTCCCAAGAATAGCTCTACCTGTAGTGACTCTGCTCTGCAGGAGTCCATTCACACTAGGACTATTATGTTAGTAGAAAAACAAAAGATATACTACAGTTTATATTTACATCATTTAATTGTTTGTTATGTTGAAGTTTAATTCTATAGAAGATTTTCTGAGTCTGACTTCAAATAATTGCTGTATTTTAATCCCCAGATGCTGGGAAACCAAGACACTTGAGGTCACTTTCAACGGAGAAGAGATTAGCATTGTCATAACAGCACATTGCAAACCACCTCCTGAGGATGGTGGGTAAACAATTTTCAGAATTCATTTTCTCACTCCTGTTAATAGACTTTGAAGAGATCATATCACTACTTCTTATGTATTCACACTGTGGCTCTTGCTGCAGGCGGATAAGCTGCCTTTCTTGGAAATGGGAATTATTTATTCTGCAGAAAAAAATCTCTATTATGCAGACTGCTTCCCCAATTTCATTTGTATTCTTTACTTTATTTAACACCCACCACAAAAGTTAATTATTTGCAGCTCAGTGTCCAATATTTACAGTATAATTAAAGTAGCTGACAATGGATGTAACAATGGATTGCTCCACTGAGTTAAGCAGATTTCAGTACAGTTATGCAATGTTTGTACTTACCACATCTGAGCAGCAAGATACTGAAATATTCAGAACGAAACAGAATCGGAAGTTTCTTATTATCGTAACACTGATGATGCACAAATGCAAGACATAGATGGTGTTAGATTGTGTGAATGGATAAACGCAGGTTTTATCCCAATATGCCAGTGGAGATAAGCAGTGCCTCCTCTTAAATTTCTTATCCTAGTTTCTTGAATATCAGAGGATAAAAGAAACCCTTCAAATAACTTGGCTGTCAGAGCCAACACCATCAAACAATGCCAGGGTGCCCTCCTCCTCACCCTCCTGTGCCTGGGAAGGAGTCTCTGCTCTAGGTACTCGCATCTTCAAGCAATTCTCTTGTACATGTGTATCTCTTGTCGCTACTTTTGTCTGAAGGCAAGGGCTACTGCTCCTGAAATTGTCTTGGATAAAAAGATGTGAAGCCAGTAAGGAGATATTTGCCTCATCAGTGCTGACAGTTAATCACGCTACAGAAGTTATTAGTGTGCACATTACGACTTTCACACCAGGTTTATTCACTCATAAGACATTACTTCAGGAACGAGCAGGACAGATCTCCATATAGATAACAATCAATGTAATTATCACTGCTTACATGTGCAGCTCCACCTTCTAAAGCTGATTGCAAACACAGTTTAGTTGTCAAGATCCTCTATCCTCCAGCTTTATGATTAAAGCATCTAAAAAGGGCAGCTTCTCTATCAATGAAAAGAGCCAAGTTGGGGCTGGGAGAGAGCAGCCAGTGTTTTCATAGAAACAGGCCAGATTCAAGCACCGGAATTTAATATCTACTGCCACAAGGTACTAGAAATTAGACCCCTTTCTAGTGAGTTTATCAGCAAATGATGTGTGCCTAGGATGTCTCTGCAAAAATGTCTGTGACTGTCCAGACACTGGGCTGGCCTCCACCTCAACACATTTATTTTTTGTCGTGAATTGAAGAATGTATTTGAAATGAAACATTTGAATGAAGACTTTTCAGGACAAGAGGGAACCGACAGCTGTCTGATACATGCAGGAATACACCTGCCAAGCCCACTGTGCTCATTTCACACACTATAGATGTAACTACTAGCATCTGCATAAATAAATACAAAAAAGTGTGGCAGGCATGAAAACACCATCCTTAATTCATAATGATTATTGCTTTAAACTTTGAAACAAAAATATGCGCTTCCCAAACCTGTCCTCATTAACCTGTTCTCCTCCTTCCAGGGATTCGCTGGGAAAAGAAGACAACCATAGCTATGCCAGCAGCTTTGCTCGTGCTGCTTACCTTCTTCGTGACGGTGTCTGGTGGCACGTCCCGCCGCCCCAGCTGGTAGGGGTTCCACTGGCTGCTCACAGACACTTCCTCCTGCCCGTTGTCCAGAATGCTGCTCTGCTGCGACGGGGTCTGTTGCAGAAATGGTAGGGCAGCCTTTAGTCACTGGACACACCATGACAGAAAATTCTCTCTTCTTATTTATTTCAGTAGTCATCCCAGTTAAACTGCAACACACTATTGCTAAAATGGAAATCCTCTTAAATTTTTACAATATTTCGTTAACGTGTAATCATATTGCTGTGGGACTCTCTACAAGCAGGAGATCTTGAAAGATATACAAGAGAAATAATGAGAATAATGAATGATGAGAGAAAAGTGAAAATTAATTTAACATAACTCATTATTTTCAGAGAAACAAATTTTGGCAAAGTTCCTATTTAAACATGCAGTCTGCCATTAATCATTGGAGTTAGAACTTTCTTACCAGTCGTTCAAGCAACAAAAACTTTTTTATTAAGTATTTGCCACCAAGACAGATTATATGCTTATATTTTCTGAAGAATATATTCCTTAATGGCAATATTGAACTTGTGACTACTCTTACCTTGCGCTATGCTCTGTGTGTCACTGTGTGTGCTGTGCTTCTCACAGACCTCTCTCTAGGCTATGGCTGGTTTTGTTCTAAGTTAACAGGATATCATATGTACAGTATTAACCTGTAACTAAATGCTTTCCTGAATATGAATGGACATAACACACATTTAAAGTTTCCTAAATGAGCTTGATACTTTTGTTATTATTTTCCACTTTTCTCTCCTTTTATACATGTTTCTTCTTTATTACTTTTTCCCCTGGTTATTTTACTCCTGTTTTCAGTACTTTTGAGGACATGTGTACTTTTTCTGTCCCATCCTGATTTTCTGTTATCTGTCTCTGTATTTCTTTAACATAGATGACAATTTTGCTAACATGGGTATGGCTTTTTGTGTCAGACTTTCCAAAATGACAACATTGTACTACCACTGACAGCACTTAGCATTATGTAGTGCTTTTTCAGTTAACTGCTTATTCAGTTCTGATTAATGGTAATCTGCAAAGAAAAAAAAAAGTTTATTCTTCCCCTCTGTCATTCAAGCAATTTCTTCATTAGCTTAGATTAAAAAAAAATCATGAAACACTTGTTTAGATGACCGAAGAACAAATGAAACTGTTGCTTTGAAATATTAAAGCTGGTAACTGGTCAATTAAGAATGCTTTTTATGCAAGCTTAAAAAACCTTTAGAAGTAAACAGAAGTAAATTGTGATTTAAATCATACTCCTCAGAGGTTAAGTAAAAAAGTTCAACCCTAATCATTTAAAATCAAAGAAAACTTTCATTATAATTCTCTCATCATTCAAGAAGTCTTCCAGAAAAATGAGGAAAGATGTGATTTTCCTTATATTAAAAACCACTAGAAAAACATTTCCCACGTTGAGACTACAAGACCTCCCTGTAGAGCTTTCTTTACACACATTAAAAATGGAAAAATGAGAGGAACCTCAGCACTTTTTCCATAGGTTATCCCTCACAGCTCAACAGACACTAGTCCCAGTGCCTGATGCAGCAGTGCTGCTGCTCTCTGATAGCACAACACTCTTGAACGCTGGCAAATTTGTGCCCAGAGCTGCATGCTGGCGTATGGCCATGCATGAAACTTGATGATACGGCTCTAAGTCCCTCACATTCAGCTAAACCTTTGTGTCCAGACAGGCATCCAGGACTGTGAGCAGCCTGCCTGAACACGCTGCCAGGGGTTAGCCCCTTCCCGGGGCTTCCCAGCCCAGGACACTCTGAGCCCTGTTTGTCCAGACCAGAACCTGGTTGGACAGGTAGGGCTCTTTGTGCCTACGTAAACTCACGGATCAGCCATTCTGCCCTGTTTGCTGTACATCATCTGAGACCAGGGCAGCAAACAACTTCTAAATGAAAAAGTACAATTGCAAAAATTTCTGCTCTGAGTAGTAGTAAAAAACAATGAAAAAGAAAGGCCACCGTCTTTGTGACATGAGGCATCCCTTCCAGAGTCACCCACAGACAGAGGTACCCAAGGCTGTGCTGGAAATCTGCTCACCCCCCAGTGACATGAATTTATAAAACATGCTATGTGCTCTCACCATGCAGAGACAGAGGGGATTAGTGAGGCAGCTTCCTAAGGGAACTTCTGTTTTTCCTCCTAAGTGATACATGTGAATATGCTGATTATTCCTACAGGGAGGTGGTACTGTACGCTTCTGAGAATGAAGTGCACCAAACCATAAACTTTTAAAAGAACTGTGAGATGGATGCCAAAAATTGAAAGCATTCTTCTGAAAAGTGTTTCTTTTGTCACTGCAGACAATGCTCTGCCGGTTTTATAAGCAACTGACTAATCTGCAGAGGTGAGTTCGCACTCAAAATGGAAAAAGAAAAAATATAGAGGGTGCTTTCTGCTTTTTCAATAAATAGGAAAATTCTGTGATAACAGATTTTTCTTTTCATTTTCTGCAGTAAAATGAATTTGCCTACTTGCAATATTATTCATTTACAAGGCTCGGACAGACTGCAAACAAACTACATATCTATTAAGTCTAGGTAAAAAATGAAAAGCAGCAGTTCAAACTTATTATACATGGCATAGAATCGATGTAATAAACTTTCTCAAAATAAGTAATTGCTATACTTGATTTCCTGATCTTCCACTGGACAGTTAGACCTCACTCATTACTCTCTTGAATCTAGGCCACAAGAAAGAGGAAAAAGAAGAGGTAAATATTAAGCTGCTGTGGCCTGGATTCATTAAGAAATGCAAATTCTTTAGAACACGTGAAGGAATAAAATTAAACAATACTAAACATTCATATTATTTGTTCAACAATAATTTTTCACTGCTTTCCAAACAGTACAGTAAGAGAATACACCCACCCCCTTCATGCAGTTCAGCATCACATTTTATATGGGTATGTAGCAATGAAATGCTGGTGAAATATAAAGCAGAATAATTCACATAAGACCACACCCCAACACGTGTCACTCTAAACAGTTACGTGAATTTCCTCAGACATCCATATATTAGTATCCATATTCATCTACAGGCTAAAATTCTTAAAGTGATGTATATAATACCTTATTCCTAAATGTGTGTAGAAAAATAGTACCATTATTTGGAGTTGATGTCAAATGGACTTCTTTCAAGGACTTGTGACAAGAATTACTCAAGACGACAAACAAATTCTTTGAAAGAAAAAAACAGTATGACCAACACTGGAAAGCTGCCTACGTCCAAACACACACATCTGCGGTTAAGATTCGACCTAGATGTCATCAACTGAACAACAGAAAAGCACACACTAACATTAGGACTTGTTTAAATCCAGGGACAGCTGAATGGGAGGTGTAAATGAAGTTAACATGTATGGAAAGTAAGTTACAGCAGGAGAAACCTGACAATGATCTGTGTGTTTGTGTGTGTGTGTGTGTGTGTGCACGTGTGCTGTTAACCTACCACAGCTTTGCTTGGAAATCCAGTGTACAGTGCATATACCTGTATTAGTGAGCTAAGCCATGCTAAAGCCTGCCCTCCGGCCAATCAGCACAATCTGGTCATGCTGCTGCCATTAAATTATCTTATTCTTCTAAATAGGCTTGGATCTAAACACCTAAATCAGGCATTGGAACCCTCCTTTGGGAATTTCTGGCCAGTGCTGACTCTGGAGCCCTGGCCAGGGATTGCCTGGGAGGGTGCCAGCTGGCCTGGGCCAAACCACGCCTGAGGCCAGTCCAGCAATTAACAGTGCAGATGATCACATTTCAGTGCCTGGATCTGTGCTCTGTTACCCTTTAATTGCCCACAGAGATGTTGCTAATTTGTACCAACAGCTACTGATGCTCATGCAGTAAGACACTAACGATGCTCGTCGCTTCTAGCACGGCAGTAGCCCCCTGCCATTACACACAATCCCAACAGTGCGACTGCTTGCAAGAGTCTGCAACCGGCTGCCGCCGTGACTCCGGTGTGGCCACGCCTGATGCAGAGTAAGGTCTCAGCATCTCCTCTCTGATACTCTGAAAATACTTTAGCAATGTCCCTCTCTGGCTTGTCATACATGCTTTTCCCATCAAACATTTGCTTGTATAGTATTTTGTATGTATGTACTTATCAACAATATACCTTAATAGCTGTAAAATAAACAGTAAAAAATGAGAAAATTATTTTCTTTCTATAGGCATTACTCAACTAAAGTTTAAAATTAGTTTAGGTGTGGTACTCAAAACTCATCACTACTAGAGCATACCCAATTAATGTTCAAGTATTAAAATCCCTGTCTCTTGGAGCCTATTTAAATGCATATTAAACACTTCTACATTAATTTTTCTAAGATCAAACAGTCACAAAACAAAACACGTTCTCCATTTCTGTGCACAGATTAAGTCATTGAGAAAATGATCGCATCAGTCTAACATGAGAGCAGAAAGCAGTAATGACAGCCATGTGAGCTACTTAATCCAAAAAGCAAGATTATTGAGTAGGAAAACTGTATTACCATCATCTTTGCTTTTTGGATTGTGTATAGTATAAGCATGAATAATAGGCAAAAGCTAAACCAGGAAAAAGCAAGGAGTATTATTAATTTATTTTGTAATGCTGGTATATGCTGGCTATCCCATACTTACTTTCGGTAGAGGTAGCTCTTGAAGCATTTGGTTTTCAAATTTAGATTTAGTCTGCAAGTTTAAAGTCATGCTTCTGCCGGCATGCATTGCTGAAAACCCTCCAGAGTGCAGCATGCCAAGGCTAACTGTGTTGTGTTTGTAAGCAGCGGTCTGAGTAGAGGAAACAACCACGTGACAGGATATGAACACACATGCTCATTGAATTAAGTATCACACATATATGGTTAATTTCACAAAGTTTTAGTTTAAGCAAACAAACAGTACCAAGAAATAAATAGCTTCTTGATGCATGCACTGAGTCACACAGAAGCAAATACATTGCTAGTTATACATAAAATGGATACCATAAAAGACTTCAACGCTGACAGCGGATGAAATATGTTGTTATCTGTTGTTTGAAAATTGCAGTATATAACACGGTATACGAGTCTTTACTTTGCAAATATGGCCAAATTTTGGTATGTCTGCGCAACCATGGATGGGCCAGAAAACATGTATCTAGCATCAAAGAGCATCAAAGGCAGAAGAAAAAATCCTACTCAAAAAGGCTCTGCACCATCTTATGAGCTTTGCAACTGCTCCCCGGCTGGCAGCTGCCCACGAGGGACAAGCTTTGGCTGGGCCCAGCACAGCGGGCACACAGGTCCTGCACAGACCGGCATCTCGCCGGCCGCGGGCAGATGGGCAGCGTCTTCTCCTGGAGCAGCTGCTGCATGGCAGCAAAATCGCCACCACACAGCCCAGCTTCTTAGAGCTTTGCTTATCGTATGTTGCAAACAACGCTGGCACCTGCAGGGATTACTATGAACTCAATTTAACTGGATAAAATCACCAGTGTCAGCTTTCCATGAGATAAAGTATTTCTTAAGCAAATACACACTGTAAACTAAGCGTAAAGATATTTCTGAAATGAACAACATCTGGGAAGTGTTTATTTCCACCAGAAACGTCTCTACTTGGGGTGCACTATTTTGCCTAGGTATTATGTATTTTCTATCCAGTTTTACGCAACACAAGGAAAATAGCTGAAGTAAGGAAAAAGCTTCAGCCTTCAAGCCAGTTTTTAAAGTTTACCCATTTGATCCTTAATGATATTTTAACATGCATCACATCCGTGCAACTGGAAGGTAATGCGTATATTAACACCAAACTCATGAGTATCTAGCACAAAATAGGTACACGGACACATTTTGAAACTAACTTATGCATTTGATGACAGCAATTTTTCACAACCACTTCAGATTATTAGAAGATATTTAGAAGTAAATTTGATTCATGAAGCAGGTCTAAATAGTCAAAATCATTACCAAAATCATGCACTATAGTACTTGTACTATTTTGTATAGAAGGTAAATAAGCATAACTTCCTACTGCTAAAAGGAGTAATAATGATATTCCTTGTAAAAAACAGTGGCAGTGTCTATCCAGTGATATTTTTTGGAGTTGAGATACCTTTAGAACCCCTCCACTAACAGTGATATGAAAGCTAAAATACATTATTTTACTTTTTATCTGTGATGTTTTTCTTTATTGCCTTTTACTGCAAAGATGTATCCAGCATCTTTTAAAGCTCCCAAATGGTTACTGAAGTGGTGGACTTCAGCAGCACGTTCACATCTGTTGATAAGGAGAGATTTTTATGCGTTTTATTATTTCAGACAGTGCTGCAGCAGTTACTACATTAGTAACGTGCACGGTGGTGCGTTACTCATGCAGAGACTCTTTATCACTCTTTTACCCCTCACTCCAGCTGCTTTTGAGCACCCCCATACCCCTTTGCGGGCTGGCTCCTCTGACACCAATGCAAGAATTTCATTACTGAGAATTCTGGTGGTTACCACTGTACGTGCAAATAGTTTGAAATACCGAAACACACAACTAAAGGCATTAATTGCAGAGAAATGCCAAACATACCCTGTCTAACCTTCTAGCTTCTATATGTCTAAGTAGCTGTTGTCTCCAGTCAGCGGGCATTTTAGCACAGCTCTCATTTCCCTTCACAGGGGTAGGCCTTGTCTTTATATCACTGTTATCGGAAGGCTTGTCGCCATAGTTACCCAAGTTATAGTCTGACGGTATCTTTTCCAGCAGAGCTGCCATTGTAGGCCTCGCTGAAACCGGCCTGGTTTGGGATGTGCCGTAACTCTCTGTACTGTAGCTTCTTGCAGACAACGGCCTCCTTTGTGTAAGGTTTTTAACTGGAAAGCTTCCAGTCTGGGCTTTCACTTCTTGGTAGGAAGGATGCTCGTCTTCGTACCTGCCGTTCCTCTTGAGGAACTGAGACTCAGAGACCGAGATACTGCCTTGGCGCTCCACAGCTCCTCGGTACGGAGGCCGGCCATACCTATCGCTCGGGGGCAGCTCATGGGGCTCACTGACTCTCCTGAACATGGACATCTCGGTGGAGCTGGCCAACGAATCCGCCCTCCTCAAGAACCCCGGCCGAGACCCCTGGCTCGCAAAGGGGGCACTGACCGCCTCCTCGTTCACGGAAGGCTGGGAGAAGGAGAACATGTGCTCCACGGGGGGGTAGCCGCGGTAGGCCCTCGGGCTGACCAGATCCTGGGGCAGGTTTTTACTCTGCTGGGGAATGTACTCGGGGTTGAGCTGGAAAGGCGGCGGTAGCCTTTTCTCTGCGGTGACCTCCACTGCTCCCTGCGGGTTGAAGCTTTGGTCGAACTGGTAGACTTTCTTCGTGACGGATGACTTCTGCTGCGGCTGCACCTTGACGCTGCCGTAGGTCAGCAGCTCGTCGTCCAGCATGGGGACCGACTGGCTGCGGGACATGCTCAGCATGCCGTGCTCCGGGCCCAGGAGCTTGTCCACCCTCTCCTGGGTTCCTACAGTATCATTACCAGATGCATAGTTTTCTAAGGGTATATTATACACTTTGTATGTACCAATGTCTATCTCATCGATACTTTGTGACTTCTTAAATTTGTTAGTTTTTAAATCCCTCATCATCGGAGAAAGCCGTTCTGTACTCTTGCTGATTGAAATAACGCTTTTGGAAGGATCTGGGCGACAGTGGATATGGGAAAAGACGTTTGTGAGACTTCTGTTAGCATTTGAATCGTGATATTCCCACGCTATTCCTGGAGTGAAAGTGCTAGTCATTTCAGGAGACTCTTTGACATGATTTTTCCGCTCAGGCAAAGGGCTGGTGGTGGGGGTGCTTTCCAGTTTGGAAGGAAAAGCTGTCCTGTCTTCAAAAGGACTAGGGGTTCTGGTCCAATTTTGCCAAGGATTGGGAGGAGGCACTTCAGATTCGTGTGTGTTTCTGAGCGTCGGCTGCTCCAGCTCCAGGGGAATGCCAACTATCCTGTCTTGCCTAATCAATGGCCTGCGCCCGTGCGCAGATGTGCTTCTGGATTTCGTGCTCAGGAGGGGGTTAGCGCTAGGATTCTCCACCGCGCTCTCCTCCGCAACGAACCCTGTGTTATCGTAGTGCGAGCTGTCGTTCCAGCTGTCGGCGAAGGTGTCGCTCAGTGGGCGCCTGTCGGCGCGCTGGGGCAGGTTCCCCGCTGCAGCAGATTCTCGCTGGCTCAGCAATGGCTTTGTTTCAAGGGGCTGTGGAAATGACTGTGCCAGCCTGCAAAAACAAAACAAAACGAAACAAGATAAAATGCCCTCTATTAGAGCACATAAACAGTCATCAGAAAGACGCAATTATAAAGCAATTTAATATTCTCCCATCTATGCCCTGGCTTTGGGATCGTACTATGAGATGTGCACCTTGTGCCACTGGTTTGGCATGAATGGCTGCAGCAGTTTTTTGCACTGGAATACCGATTCTGTAAGTATGCACACAGAGAAACTAAGAAGTCTGTCAAAAGTCCTGGGTGGCTCAATGCCACGGTCATACAAATCCAGCTGAACATATTTTCCTGCTTTAAAAATAATCTTCTATGAGTGCAGGGGAAGATTTTTTACACTTACATTATTCTTTTTTTTAAACAAGAATACCAGATTCAGTCTGTGCATGTTCTCACCACCAAGATTTTATGCATCTGCAGTGAGCAGGCTCCAGCCTCTCTTTATTGGGGAAGAGCCTGTAGATGGAACTACATTTAGGATGGAACTACATTTAGGATGGAACTACATTGCGTGATTTAGGGCAGGAATAGACAGGGCAGGTGTTCCTGGTATTGGTACGAGGGTGTTTTCAGGTTGCTGATGGCCAGTTCAGATTACAACTTTCAATGAACTGTGGTGTTCTTGGAGGTCCAGGGCAGAGTGAGGCTCAGGACAGCAATAATGTGAGACACATACACTCTGCTATCTATGCTAAACTACAGCCAGCTGCAGCTCAGGACCACACAGAGCAGAATAATTGCAGCCGAATTACTAGGCGATTTTCATGCATGGTTACAGCACATAGATGAAAAACCAGCTGTAGAATTACTGACATTTATAGAGTATGAATGGGTGGCCAACTCTGCACAGCCTGGGCTTTGAACAGCTACGTACGCTTCTGCAAAACGGGAGTAAAAATGTATTTTTTTAATTGAGTGCCTTAATGGATACGATAGCATACGATCACTTTGAATGCATATGACAACATAAGATGAAAGGCAACCAGAAGCTGTGTTAAGAAAGATGATCACACCTGTTCCCCCACAAAGAGTTATTCACTGCTTCTTTAGCCGTTGTCTGCAAGGACCCCATTTTAACATGCGCATTGGAGGACCCTGAGGAAGCCTGGGAAGGGGAATAGTCTGAGTAAGTGCCTGAGGAAACGCTGTTATTCAGACAATGGATCTTATCTGCTTCAGACTCATCTGTCGATTCTGAAACAAAACACAGCAAACGTTTTCAGGAGGTGGTATTTGAAAACTAAACTCTAGAAAAATACATTTTTTAATTGATACTATGGATATATATAAAAAAGTGCACAAATATGTATATAATATGTCTTAAAATCAGAGTGAAGTGTAGAACATTTTAAGTAATGTGTCTATCTGTGTACATTACATATGCTTTAATCTAAAAGGTTGTAAGTCAAGTTAGTACCTTTCTTCTCTTTACCCAGAAGAACAAGTTTGGGTGGGTACAACGGAGTCTCTGGCATGGAAGGACGAAGTTCCCCTATCCTCATCTCACTGGCAGGATGTCCAAAGGCATCCTGAGGAATATAATAATGTAGAGTAAACATAGGAAACAGAATCCACTTCAAACTGCAATGAACAAACATTTCACAGCCTTCTTTTCATGAATGTGACAACACACCAAAACCCCACCATACAGGTAGTGTCTAATCATGCCGATCTGTCAGCTGAAAATTCTAATTAGTCCTACATAAATACTTGTAAAAACTATGGTGATGTGTTCATTCTGAAAATGTGGACAAAACAGATGGCACTTGCAAGATACATCAAGGCCATGTAAACATTTTTGATGAAGTAAAGGTCACAAAAATGCAAGCTGCCAGTAGAAATAAATAAAAATTTTGAATAAACAATTACTACTTATTTCAGGAGTAAGTATTCCTCATTCATTTATTCATGGCACAAGTCCTTCCATATATTCAACTGTCCCTATAGATATATTTCATTAAAATGACTTTGTCTCTAAACAGTTTTTTGCTAAATCAAAATGATTCAGATTTCATAAACTTCTCATTGAGAGTTCAGCAAATCTTGACCTTCAAAGACTGCCCTGCAAAACTGTTCTGCTGTTCTAGCCAGCAACAGGATATACACTGAAAATAACATGAGATAAAAAGTGGAAAGAAAGTGAGATGTAGTCTTAGAAAGAGGTATTTTAAATTGGGACATTTAAATTAGGCTCATAGGATAGCTGGAAGGGAATGAAGGCACAAACAGGGAATCTATGGCATTTCTTATCCCTGGAAGAAAGTTCAGAAATGAGAAAGACTCTGACCTGAAGATAGGTGTCTTGGGGAGACAGGGTAGGGGATGACACTCCCTGGAGGAACGATACTGGTAACCCTGCCCTCAGGAGGGGACTTAAGGAAAGGGAGCCGGAAGAAAGAGCAATATGGGAAACCCACTTTGTGGGTGTTGGTGCACGGGCTCAGGGAAATGTAATGGAAAGGGAACTGATGGAGATGGGCATGGCAACACTGCAAAGTCGTGACAATGCCCATCGAGATCCTTGTGGGAAGGGGTATGAGAAACGTGCATCATCTCAAAGCGAGAGGATGAGCTGTGATTTCGTAAAGAGAATGGAAGTTGGAGAAGGAGAGTATCTAGTAAAAAAGAGGAAGTTTTGGAGAGATATTCGGAGAAAATCAATAATTAGTAGTACAAATGAGGAAGGAAATGATTAAGAGAAATATGTTTAGGAGGGAACTTACACTAATGGAGACATTATGAGGATCTCTGTACCCTGACATTTTGTTGTTAAAGGTACTCCAGTGATTTTGCAGAGTGAAGTCAATAAAGGAAAGAGATGTAATATTTAGAGAAACAATTTAAAATGGAGTACCAAAACGAAAACACATTATTGAAATGTAAAATGCTACAATATTTTTAAAATTTACTTGCTTTTACTCATAAGGAGAAAACTTTCAGAGGTTTACTCTCCATTAACTACTTTTTGTAGTAACAGTGGAAACAGAGATTTGTAGAAGCATTTGCCATGCAATTTATGCTTGAAGAATATAATTGTATTTACACAACAGACATTTTAATCCTTCTGCATTTGGTGTTCTACTGGAGGTAGTACCATACCAAAACAGCAAAGAACAGGTATCTTCACAGCCCATTTAATTAATCCCCTCAGTACTAACATTTAAGCAAATATAGCTACATACTGACTCTTACATGGTATAGTATATTCAAGACTTTAAACTGCTTTCACATGCAGAGATGCCTTGTTGTGTATGGTATTTCTTACATAACTGTAGTGATGTACATACAACTTAAAGCTAGCAATAGTGCAACAGCATTTTTCCAGTGCAGCACAATCATTTTCTGGTGCAGCGTAACAAACTTGTGCAAAACTGTTTTTTGAGAAATAAAAAAGTGCATAGCATTCGCAGAGTGTGAAATTCTCCACCTTTGAAACATGGTGCATGTTAAGTTTCTTGTTGTACCTCTGAGCTTTTTGTATGCTCTTCTTTCTCCTTCCTTTCTGGGATTTCCAGAGTCGATTTATGAGTGTTGTCTGTATCAGACAGGTGACTCTTTTGGAATTCTTTATTTTCTCTATCTTGAACCTAGAATCCCAATATTGTGCCATGAAACTTCCAAAAGTTATAAGCTTAAAATAAAACTACTTGCTGTAAAATAGGAAGAACCAGCAGTTCCATTTTTGACATAATGATGAACACAGGTTTTTATTTCAGGTACATGATTTTATGAAGTTTTCTATGTTACAGTCTTTTTTTCTCTTTTTTTTTTTTTTTAGCCCCTAGTCCAGCTATTCCAACAAAAATCAATACACTTTTGAAAGAACTAGTCTGGCATTTATGAACACACCATGAAAGTGAAATATGTTGTAAAAAACCAAAATCATATTCCATTTAATTCTACTCTGTTTAAGAGGACCTTTTTTCTTACAAGCCCAAGAACAAAAAGGTCACTAATAGAAAAAAAAGAAAAGAGTATTCTTAACAGGAGCAATTGCAAGAACAAAGGGAAGAGAGAAATGCAATTGTGTTGTGTCAGAACTTATTCCTCAGGACTAACCAGAGAAAGATACAGGTAGAGGACAGACAAATATGGTGAGCTGTTTCCCAAGAGAAAATACATGGTAAAAACCATTAAAATAACTGGAAAAGAGAAATATCACCAATTATTCATGCTGACAACACAAGAACATTAAATTATAATCTGGAGAGATGGAATTTTTAAAATAACGTAACTCTTAGAGTCTGCTTGCAAAGAATATATAGCCTCCGAATAGAGCAGACTGGGGCTCTGGGCAGACACAGCACGCACAAGGCAGGGGAATGCGGGACCATTAATGCTGGATCTATTCCAGAGGAACAATTAAATATACATAGAGGGTAGGCAGCACTGCTAAACTGGAGGCAGCCAGGTCAATCTGAAGAATGACAAGCTGGCTATAAAGAAATGGAGAAGCAAAGAATTAAACGGATTAAGGCAAATGTTACTCAGTCCAGATTTTACTAAAACTTTAATGAAAGAATAAAGGAGATCACAGAAGGTGTAGGAACAAATGCAACCAGACAGCTGTCAGAATATCCCTAGATACAAGCAAGACTAACTGAGGCATAGCCATCTTTCCTGAGAATCAGTTAGTGGTGCGGTTTTGTAACAAAGCCTCACTGAGCCACTTACCCACGTTACAGTCTCTGCACAGAAAATGGCAGCACTTCCACCTCTCAGCCCTGTCTATAATTTCAAAACCCCACTAAATAGTCTTCTCCTGACAAAACCACAAAATGAATTCTATCTGAAGCTCAGCATGTGAAAGGCAGTCACAGTTCTGGATATTTTGCTGTCTAAGCTAGCTATTATCAGACTGATCTAAATAAAATTCAGTCACCAATCCAGAAATGCACTGAGAGTCACCCCAAAACATGGGATTATTCCAGAAGAAAGCAGAGTGGAGGATCTTCCACCTGCTCCTAAATCTCTCTCACTCTTCTGGCTGCAGTGGCAGCTTCCAGAAAGGCCAGTTGCAGGAGCCGTTAGATCTGAAGCTTGTCCCAAACAGGATGTTAATACAAGATATAACTGATGGAAGGAAAACTTCCGAATGTGGATACGGAATCTGAAAGTGGGAGAACGAAGGAACCCCAATCACTTCCTATCTGCAGAGGTGATACAGCAGCCAGCACAACGTTACGGCACTGATGCAATGAGCTCTCACCTTTTCAGCTCCAGCAGGCAGTCTCAGACACATGATAGAGCTTTAAAAGGAGACATAAGTACATGAGGAACAGACTGGGGCAGAGGTAGTTTTTGGGACTCCACATGGAAAGACATAGTAGATCCTGGAAAAAAGTTGTCATCTGCAGGTAGGGCATAATGATTGTTTCTGCCATGTACCTCTTTGCCTTGCAGTTTGGTGGGCCAGCAAGGAGCTGGAGGAATGCACGCATTAACCTTGCCTATTCAGGTGATCAGAAATACAGCCAAGGGGATGCATCCAAGAACTGACCAGAACTACCTATCACCAAAGAAATCAAAGTTAGAGACCCCCAGTCTAAAAAGATGTATTTTACAATGAAAATTTCCATTTGCAGTAGTTTAATCTCATATGGGTAAGCCCGTTAGCTGACATAGTCAAGATTCTGCAAAGATAAACTGCAGATGCTTATCTGACCAGTCGTCAGTCATGTACTGCAGAGGATAGGAGACCTTCTAACATCACCCTCAGTTATAAACCATGGAGAGGCTCTTGCCCAGCTCTGTATGTGGTCTTCAGTGTGAGGACAGAAGTCTCAGTACTGCCCTGAGTTATAACACCCTGATATGTGAATTGCACTCTGTGCTCTCCCATCTCTGGAGGAAACAAGCTTCTGTTCCTCTTTATCTAGATGGAAATGCACCCAACTGCATACATCTCACCTAGGCTGCTGCCAACAGAGAGTCTCAGGCCTTTTGCAAAAAAGCCACTTCATGGTCCATCAAACATAAATCAGACTTACATCCCCTGTGTATATGAGTTTGTCCAGAGTGCCATGTCCAAACATGTCATACTGCACCTCCTGAGTCCTCATGCAGGTGGGGACAGACAAAGCAGTAGCCTCAGGGGGTCAAGTAATGTCTTGGACCGATTTTATGGAAGGTAGGCTTTATCTTGGAGGCAGCCCTGAATAATGCCCCTCCAATCCAGACACTTAGATAAGGTCAGGCAGAAGTCAAAGTAACTCAAAATGAACTTTAAGACATTTGACATCCTATCTGAAGAAAGGTCTCTTGTGAGTCAGACCTCCAGATGAGTAAACCATTACCTCCTTTCTCCTTTGACAAGAAGGCACCAAGGTCATAACTTCAGTAAAGATCTTTTGTGCCATGCAGAAACCAAAAACTCTATAATTTCAGTCAGACATTTCTGACTCCTGGTAAAATATAGGTAATTCTGTTGCAAAGAGCTTATCAAGGTATGGGCTTAAAGCCGATACAAACCAAAAATCTTTAGCATATATTCCTCTCCCAAACAGGAGAGACTGTCATTGTGCATCTCATTAGTGGAAAACAGCTCCCACAATAGACACATCAACTGAATCAATTGAAGCCAGGCATCCTGGCTTCAGTGTGTAAGTGGGTAAGTCTTCCTGGAAAGGCAAGATGATCTTTAAGAAAGTCTCTGAAACTTTCATTAAAAACAAAAGAAAAAGAACACTCCTCTCCACCCCCACCCACCTAAAAAACCCCCACAACCCAAACCCACACAGTAACAAAGTCAGAAGTTAAAAGGATTGAGATCCTATTTTGACTGAAATGAGATGAAGATCTCAGAAGATCCAATACAGCTGAGGCGGTATTTTTCTAGCTGTTAGCACCGGCATCTGCATCAGATCACTCAAAGAATAACAAGCTCTCCTTTTTACACAGTATTAATAAACCTGCTAGGAATTAACACAAAGGATGGAAATCTAGTCCAAAAGTTGGACTAGAAAAGACTTTTTTTTAATCCAAAGCTGAGATTATATAGAAGTATTTCCAGTTTATTTGTCAATCCATACATATCAAGAATATTAACTATAAAGACCTTAATTTCTGATTTGTGGTATTTCTCATTGTTTCTCATGGAAAGGCTACACAACGCACTAAGTTATCCCAGACTTCTTTTTGTCCAAAATGCACATCTTTCAAAATGACTTAGGACAATGAAGAGGTTTATTTTAATTGATGATTAATTAAGAAATTGTTTGCTTATTATAACTGAAGGTGGAGGATGATACAGGGGATTTGAAATGTAGCTTGTTACTCATTTCAGATGCTCCCCTTAATTATTTAGAAACAGTTTTGTGAAGAGACGTGTAAATTAATTGCAAGAAAACCCAAAAGAGATCAGAAAAGAAACCAGCTTATCTGGCCTCTGAGGATGAAAAAGTGAGCATTGCACCTGAAATTAAATTACCTTGTTATTAGAAACTGTCTTCAGTTTAAATCTATATCAGAACACACCTGCATTTTCAAACTGTATTTTAACTTGAGGCTTGAGATCATGTCTCCTAATTATCTGAAAAGCAAATGGAGCTTAATTATGTTTTATTTAATGCGTTACAACTAAAATCATGCTAATATTATTCACAAAATCATTCACATTTTTTCTGCAGTTTCCCATACTTTTTCTTTATCTTCATGCAGGAAGGCAAAGAGAGGAAAATGTATACATCATCCTGCTTTACAGCCATAAAATTTTCCCAGTGTCGTTATTTGTATGAATGACAAGAACACTTTTTTTCTTTTCTTTAGTTGACAAGATAGTTGTGTTACTAGTCTTGACCAAGTACTAGGGAAATTAAAATCTGAAAAAGTTCCACCATCTTCACTATTATAATAATAGAAGACGAAAAATACATCTTCACTGGTATGATGGAAATAGTCATGCACTCACATCAGTTGCTTGTGGTAGAAAATTAACTAGGAAATTGCAATCACATTATTTAATTGCACTTCAGGAATTACCGCAGGGTCTTCAGCAATTTAATTATTTTTACAGAATGCTTTTTGTGATACTTATGCAATTAACTGTTCATGTACTTTCACAAAAAACTAGATATGATTATTCTGTTGCAAAAGTGAATGCATTTTTATCAAAGAATGAAACATAAGAATGAAATTTGTCTTCACCTTTTTCTATGTCAGAACACCGTATGTAGTCACAAAAGCATTTCAGAGTAACTGTAGTAATTTATGGTGTTGCTGCCATTTACTCTTTCCTTACACCTCCATAATGGAGGCTTCAGTGGGCTCTGCACACTCACAGGACTCTCTGCTGTGGCTCAGTTAACTGGGATGTTAACATTTTAGTTTAACAACTTAACATTTAATTTAACAGCAACTAAACCAGTACAGCCACCTATTTCTGAAGCCTGCGTCACCAGACACAGCCACAAGACCAAACACCTAATGTCTTTGTCAGACAACATTGATTCCAATTCCAGAGATAACACATGTGTGTTCACAGTAGGGATAATTAAAACCTGCAGAAAGCTATTAAGAATATTGAAGTTCAAAAGCTAGATGATGCAAAATAAATTGTATGTATTAAGCAACAACAGCAGAACATGTCAATACTCATGCCACAAGACATAAGTTGGTTCAAAGGCCAGATTTACACAGTAAGAAAGAATTTAATGAGTAAAAAGGAATAATGGTGGAATTTAAGATTTCAGATTTAGATAAAAACATGAATGATTCAACTTAAATATTTTAGTTTGAAGTACTAATCGAAACTGTGCCTAGATTTGAAGAAAGTCTTCTGAAGCCATCTTAAGAGAAAACTTTTGGGTTTTGTTTTTTAAGAAATTAAAATGTTTAACTGTAAATAAAACACACAGTATTGACAGAGCAGCTACAGTGACTGCAGAATATGTAAGAACAGCCAATCTGTGTTAAGGATATGAAAAACTGAGGACGAAAAATTCACGCATACACGACTAGCCAGAGACGGGGATATTTCAAGGACAATGAACTTATTACAATGTTTAAATAACAAAGTGAAAAGATAATCATAGAATCATAGAATCATTAAGGTTGGAAAAGACCTCTAAGATCATCGAGTCCAACCGTCAATCCAACACCACCGTGCACACTAAACCATGTCCCTAAGCGCCTCATCTACACGTCTTTTAAATACTTCCAGGGTTGGGGCCTCAACCACTTCCCTGGGCAGCCTGTTCCAAGGCCTGACCACTCTTTCAGTAAAGAAGTTTTTCCTAATGTCCAATCTAAACCTCCCCTGGCACAACTTGAGGCCATAATGTTTTCCTCATTTCTTTCTTTTGAACACTAAGACTTCATAAAGATTTTCAAGAATGCTGGTATTCTTGTAGATCTGTCCAGCCTTATAAACTATCAGTACATACTGCCAGGGTAAGAGGTTTCCCTTATTTATAAACTGTGCCTGCATAAAGTAAGTCATTAGTGTGAATGTTAATGAGTAGATGCCCTCTGAGATCAAGCTTCAGCTATTTGTAACAGCTTTGCACAAGACTGCAGTATTTAGGAATTTACCTTTCAGTGACTGTATTCATGTTAGAATAGAAGACACTGTTACTATGCATACTGATCCACTTCTGGCAAACATATTAAGGGCTAGATTCTGCAACTCATTGTAAGTTGCTGTTCAGGGGGTGCCTGATCTAAAGTTTCCTGCAGCTGAAGAAGCACTCCTGCTGACTTCATTAACTTTTGACAAGGTTAATTGGCTATCTACTACACGTAATGTGAATAGAAGAAGCAGAACCTAATGGCATAGTAGGGTCAGACAGAACAAACTGACTTGTCATTAACATACTTGATGCAGAAATATACTTACTAAAGTTTGAGATGTAAACTGTGACCAGGTCCATTCTCCTGCTAATATGCAAGTCTCTCATATAATTAAAATTTAGGACAGTGCTTGTATATATCAATACCAAAATTCAGATCTAGATAGATTTAAAACCAAAAATTCAGTCTGATAAACTCAGTAGTATTGGGAAAAACAGCAACTCAATATAAAACTAAATTAACTTTACGGAATGAAACTAGAAACTATTTGGTATGAAGTTCACAGCAGATGCAGAATATCATTTGATGGAGTTATGTTAAAATCCCATCTCGAACTCTTGAGAGGAACAACGATCCTTTTACATTACCTCCACTGAAATCTCCTTTGGTGCCATGGGCCACTTGTGCTCATACTTTTCTTTCACAGTTTGTTCACTGTTCGCAGTTGGTGTTGAGTTCTCAGGCCGTACTCCATGGCTTGTTTTGCCCACCAGATTTTGAACTGATTTTACCATATTCTTTAAATCCTCCGGGTATGGAGTGGGATAACGTTTTAGATTTATTTCAACCTGAACATTCATAAAAAGAATTAAAGCACAAATACAAAATGAAAAAAGCATGCAAACTAAAACCATGGCTACAGTACTATGGCTAAGTGCAAATTCCTCAAATTTTTAATTAATCTATTTATTTGAGGTAATGTGTTACATATAACTATCTTCATGGATTTTTGGACTGAAATTTGCTCTCAGTTACACTATGTCGACCTATTATGGAATTTCAGTGACATAAAATAATGGATGGGAATGGTTCCCTATAGGGCTATCTTTTACCCTGTGAGAGTATTGTACTTTAATTCTACACTTTGCTTGAGAATACTGACATATTAAATCACACTTTTTCAAAACAATACCGGTGTAAATGCAGAATTAATTTAGCTACATTCAGTGTACTGAATTAATCTGAATTACCTATGGCAGCTGAGAACAGAGTCTGATTTACTGGGAGCTATTTGCTCTTTGAGATGTATAATGTACGTACGTGCACTCAAGTGTATCTTACTCTTTTTTAATACAGAAAATACAGGAAAACAGACTCAAACCACTACAGAAAATTCATCTTAAGTCACACTGAATAGTACTTTAACTGACAGACCCATAGATTTTCTAGAAAACCCCACATTATAAGTTTATCATTTTTATCACTCAGAAGTAGAGAAACATTGTATTTCCCAAGTCCAAAGCAACCCTAATTTGAAGCCAATTCTACAAAATCTCAGGGTTGAGTGAAAGGGGAAGAGTGGCTGAGAGGGCTCGTGGATGACATCACCCCCCGTCATCTGGCAAGACATTACACTATCAGCAAATTGCTCTGAGGAGATGGTGCAGCAAATGACGACGTCAGGAATGGTCCAAGCAGGAAAGACGACATACATGATGCTGATCTCTCCTTATACCTCCCCCACTGTGTTACAGACGTATTTTGTGTGCTGAACATCACATCACATCATAAGAAGAGATGCTGAGGAAACTGAAGTGTGCATCCAAACAAAGCACAACCTCCGCAAGGTTGCTTGGCCTGTGCAGAGAGTGTGGGCAGCTTGTAGGTCTGTCCCCCGAGCCTAGCCTGCGGCAGATGCTTTCCTCTCAGCACAGGGCTCTCTCCTCCACGGAGCATCTCCTGCCCCCCCGCTCCGTCCTTCAGGCTGCAAACCTGCCCTGTCTCCACCACCTTTGTCCAAGCTGTGAAAGATGGTTGTGGCTTAAGCACCAAACTCGGGATTCACAGGGCAAACCAGCGAGCACGCCCTGCAGAGCGGCAAGCCCACTGCTGAGCGCACCTAACAGCCACCAAACGCAGCCAGCTGAAATGCAGAAGGTGCTGGCTGAGCCTGCCACTCTCTTTGGGCCTGAATTTGGGGTGGAAATGCAAGAAAATCTTTCAGTGGAGTAAAATTACAGCTCCCAGTGCAAGTGTGTCAGGGTAACGGTTCCCAATTATGAGGCTGTGAAATTTGAAATTACTCCACATTTACCATGTGGTGAGTATTTGGAACCATTTACCACAAAGAAGCTTTTACCTCATTTGTGTACGTGAGGTAAGCAAAGGGAGCTTACTTTTAATAGCTCACTATTATAGCTGTTGCATTCTAAGAAGAAATTGGGAGGGGACACAGCCGGGACAGCTGACCCAACTGACCAATGGGGTATTCCACACCATATGACATCATGCTCAGCATATAGAGCTGGGGGAAGAAGAAGGAAGGGGGGGACGCTTGGAGTTACAGAGTTTGTCTTCCCAAGTCACTGTTACGCGTGATGGAGCCCTGCTGTCCTGGAGATGGCTGAACACCTGCCGATGGGAAGGAGTGAATGAATTCCTTGTTTTGCTGTGCTTACGTGCGCGGCTTTGCTTTACTATTAAACTGTCTTTATCTCAGCCCATGAGTGTTCTCACTTTTACCCTTCTGATTCTCTCCCCCATCCCACCGGGGAGGAGTGAGCGAGTGGCTGTGTGGGGCTTAGCTGCCAGCTGGCGTTAAACCACAACAATTCCTAACGAGTAGGAAAAATGCAATTTTGGATTCAAACGAATAAGGTCTTTCGACAGGAATATTTTAGAAGCAAAAGCATGATCAATTTGGAAAATAAAACTATATGAAATACTAGCATACAATTCTGAACCACAGTAGAATAAACATTACGGATAATAGATTCTGATATGACTTTAACATAAAACGTTAAAATGTATGACTATGATGTCATATGTTAATACAGAATTTCAACAGAAAAAATAAATTAAGTCTGTAAAGCATTACTAAGGCTCTGGTTGATTTGCGGTTGAAAGAAATCGTATTTAGATGTGGCCTAATTAGGCAATTGCTTTTTTACAAAATTCAGACCATGATTTAAGTGTAAGTTCTAAAGACAAACATAGCTAAAAGTCAAGTCATAGAGCAAATCCTCAAGAAGTACTAGTCAAGGAAAAATTAACTGAAAGACTTTCATGAGATAGACAAGTCATAGACAGGGATTTCAGCAAGCGTTTCATATCACTGTGAGTATTAATATTAAACAGTAAAAATACTGGCAGCTGTGGTAGGTGATATGCACTAGAATGCAGATACTTTCATCACTGATTTAGACTTATCATTACAGAGGAAATCTGTACCTGTCGATACAATTCTTGTATGTTTAATGCCACATCAAATGTAGCATGATCCTGAAAAGAGAATTTTCGACGTTCAAAATTCTTGATTGAAGAAGTTATTGAACAATTTCAATCACCAAATCTATTTTAATATATAGTTGGCTGAGAGTTCAGTTTTAACTATGAAAGATAAAAAGTGAAAACTATGTATGCTTTTATAAACGCTACCAATGTTTGTGGTTGCTGCCTATTGATAATTTAAGTTAACCTTCAAATTCATCCCATACAGGTCTGGTGAAACTGCTAAAAACATAAATATTAAAACTTCCCTAAGACCTATTGCAACACATGGATGAAGTGACACACACTAAGTTCTCAAAAGGTTCCAGCAATTAGCTTTTAGTTCATGTGTACGCAAATAAACACAGGCTGGTGAACAGTTCAGTCAAATAACTTTTTACAACACTTTTATGGTCATTCATATATAGAGATGAATTGGCATTACTGGGAAAGAGCACAGACATATCAGAAGTGTGCAAATAAGCATTTCTATCTTATTAATAGTAATTGAATTTGAGGTCATATTTTCACAGCTTGGGCAAAAAGGCTGTTTTCCATGATAGGGAAAAAACCCACACACACCTTCAGTGGGAAATTTTTTCCTTTCACAGCCTGGCAAGACTTCCCAGGTTTGAACAGTATTATTCCTCTACTTTCTGTTTTTACAAACTACAGGTATTTATGGGTGTCTGGTGAGATATGAGAGAGGAGAGAGGTTCTCTACAAGGTACACAGACGGGAGGAAATACCTGATGTGCTCCTAGCTCCCTGCTTAGCTTTTCATTTAATAATTCTTCTCTATATAAGCAATAACTATAGCATCAGCTGCAAAATTTAGTGTTTTGGTCTGATGAGAACATGTTAGGATCATTATGGGGGACAGGAACATTGGATTGTATATGGGAATAGAGAAATCTCATGCAGAAACAGACTCGTACTACAACATTGGTTTATACCAACTCTCTATGGATGTAGAGGGAGAACAGCTACGTAAGAACTCCAGGAAATATATTTTAGTGCTAGACTCCTCCACAGCTAAGGAGCAGTGATACAAAGGATGAAGACTGTCTTGACCTTCGGATGGCCAAGCCAAAACGTTACGGAGAGGTGCAGTCCTGCGGGACATGGATGACCCACACGGTACAAACCACTCTTCCGCTGGCAGCACGCCTGGCCGCGGGCTGCCCTCCTCATGTTCTGCTGCAACTGGGCTGAGACTGCAGCTGACCAATGCACACGTCTGGGAATGCAAACTCTGCTCCACAGACCACGACTTTGGCAGCAGCTCCAGGGGTGAGCAAAGAGCCCAGATAAGAAGCACTGCAACCAGAGCATCCATTGCATCCTGAAGAGCTCTGGTGCGGCGCGCCTGGGCCTGGGATCACACCACGCAGAGACATCTGCTCACAGTATGGGCACGGGCCAGCTATTTTTGTTAAGTGCTGTTTCTAGGAAACCTGGAAATGTGGTACTGTGTCTCGGCTGTGTTTGCCTCCCCGTTTTCCATACAGCAGATGGCAGCATTTGAACTGAAGTACAGGAACAGCGTTCAGTGGATGAAGGATTTATTTTTTTCTACAAGAACATTTTACTCAAAGGAAACATTTGTCTCAGTCATTCATAGTTTTCTGAAATGTATTAAAAACAAAATGGCTATCTAAGTGATATAATTCATATATTACCTTTCAATATTTTAAATAATCCTTGCAATTGAATTCTATGATCTTAGAAATTGATATCTATTTCTCTGTTAATATTTCAATTGTTTGGCACATTTGGACAGCCATATTACCCACAGTTAAAATTCTGATGAGAAGTGGTGGAACAATATAAAACTCTCCCAGATGCTCTGTTTTCCATATATGACCCATAAATCTCCAGTTCATCTGGGGTAAAATTTCAGTTTAATCTATTTATTGTGAGGCAAAGGTTGCTTTTTGACTACATTTTCTGTTTTACTAAAGCAGCAGAGTCCATTATCTCTAATTACAAGAGTTAGATGAAAATTCCTAATTGGGAAAAAACCTAAAAAGAAAAATCCAAACTTTCCAAGAAGATCTAAACGGAATGTTAAATAGCTATTAATAATAGTATTGTTAATTTTAAAATTAAAGTATGATTTAAATCTCCTCATATGGTTTTTGTCTCTGGCAATACATTTTATGTTGGGTATCCTACCGCAGTTAAGAATTTGCAGTGTTTAAGTGTTTGATCTGGGTTAATTCCTTTATATTATTCAAGAAATAGAAATTTTCATGCCATGTAAATGTAGATGGTCCTGACAATATCCTTCTAACAATGTAACTGATTAAGGGCTCAACTGAAAACTCTGGAATGACATTAATTTCAGATAAATGGGGGAAGATAGTGATGTTTTGATCTTCATTTTTGGTAAGTTACAAAACTGATGAGAGACACCCTCTCCACTGCACATTCCTGTGTAACTCCACGAAGTTGCAAAGCTCTCGTCGACTTCCACTTTGAGAGGAATATGGAAAGCCCTATGTGATCTAAATATTTCTAAAGAACTAGGTGGTTGGACATTAATTCTAAGTCTCCCAACATTTTGTGTTCATTTTGTCTTTGTGACAAAACACCTGTCACAGTAGGAACCCGACATTAGAGTTATGGGCCTGAACTGACTTACGAAATCAAAGTTTTGCTGTCTAGACAACAACAGCAAAAGCAGAAATTGGTAATGCGTACTTCAAGGAGAACAGATATGTTATTCTTCCTCAACTGCTGTACCTGAAACATGGTGACGAGTATTTTCTGGGCATTTAGAACTCAAAAACAGTTCAACTCAAGATCTGTAAATTGGACCCTGTCCATAATATGTGAATACCAGAATAAATCAAATAGAACTTACCTTAACTTTCCCTGCATTTTCCTCCTCTTCCTTTTTTTCTTCAAATTCAAAGGCAACAGTCATACGTTGCTGTCTCTGCTCCTCCCATAAAGTAGGATTAAAACTATCACTGTCTGACGGGAAATCTACAGTTAAATTGCAAACAGCAATGCACAAGAACAAGTAATTAGTGCACCCAACAGAAGATTGGAAATGATCTAAAAAGACACCTTTGCAGTTGATCCTGTAATCTTGGGTTATTGTTTTAAAACTGTTGAGGGGGGCAATGAGAGTAGTAACTGACAAACCATTACAAACAGAGTTTAATATTAAAACTGAAATGAGAGTGATGGGAAGCAACAGGTTTTCGGGGCAGATCTGGAGCTGAGGGGCAAACTCTCTAACTTAATGTAGGTATGTCAGGAGCCAAACCCTCAATCCTGCCAGGCTCAGAGCTCTGAACCCCCATGTCTAGGAGCCGGCCCACCCCCCAGCTCTCTCAGACAGGTCCAGTGTCTCTGCAGGTTGAGCTGGCTCTGGTCAACAGCCTGTCTGCACGGCAGCAAGGCATATCCTAGAAGTTCTGTCCCATGCGCACTCAATTCCCAGGTTCAAATTGTTTATACAAGGCCACTCTTCTGAAAATAAAAAAGTGTTCAAGAAAATGTAAATCTGATGGCCTGATAATAATGGATTTGCAAACAGGATTCCTTCGTGTATGACAAAATGTAGACTGTTACGTGTGCACCACTGGCTTTATGTGTCAGAAGAGACGCTCACACACAGAACCACATCTGAAACCCCTTCCTCTCCCTCCCTCTGTTTTTCTCTCCAATATCTGAACAAGCACTGTTCCTGCCTTTGTAGGAACTGCTGATGGCGTTTTACCTTCATCACTGCGGGGTTGCTGGGGAAACATGTAGTTAGTCAGTACTCTCTGCTTTGTTTCTGGGTGAGCCTCAGTTTGCAGTGGAATGAGAGCCTTGGACTGTACAGGAAAGACAAAACAAAGAACTGTTAACTCAGAGCATGCGTGTTAACTGAGATGGGATTTTAGCACTTGATAAATAGAAAATACAAGATTAACTAAAATCTGTATGAAAATAAACTTCTCTATAGACTAAAACAAGTATTAATCTGGTGGAAACGCCTCCTCTCCCATTCCTCACTTCTGTAATTCCTGTAATTCCTACGGGGATCAACAGAAGAACACTAAATACCATAAACACTGACTGCATGTTCAGAGTCATACCAGGGAGGAAGCTAAAGGATCAGCAGAACAGAGATGCAACTACACAGTTAAAACACCCACATTATGGCTGTGATCTATTTTAAGCTAGGCTAACGAGGAGTAAATTCACAACAGTTATTAGTTCATCTGAGGGTAAACCTGGTGCAAGATACTGGAGAAATTACATGGAGGTACTCTGAATATTCAGATGTTACTGTTGTGTTTTACTTCAACTGATTATTTTTTATTATTACTTTGCTCTAATGTAGCATCTAGGAATGACTGTCATAGTTCATAGAATAGAAATTAATCTATGCTATACCACAGAAAAGTCAAAATGCTGAAAATATATTGTATATTTAAAAGGAAGTGTATGTTCTGTGGCTGGGCTGAGGAGTCATGCAATGTTTTTTTTTTAATGGAAATTACAGTGAAAAAACCAAGAATCCTAATTTAACACATTAAAATTTACTCATCATTTTCTATTATCCCTCCCACTTAGTCTCCCCTCCCTTCAGCTTTAAAATTTTTTGCTTAGCTATAAAAGTAAAAAGTACATTTAAGGAGCAGTACAGTAAGTATGTACCAATGTAAATCTATTGACTGCATTGCATTGGGCTTTGCTACGATTTGAGGGCCCAGGTGAATGGTACGCACTGGCCAGGAGTCAGCAGGTTGATAAAGAAACGACCCTGTCTGCAGGGCCGAGCCCCGTGGACAGGCACGGGCTCTGCTCTGAGCAGTTCTGCAACCAGCGGTGCTCAGCACAGGCATACGCACACGGTCTCCTGCAAACAGGCAGCTGCAGGACCTGAGTCCCTGTGGCTTTTTCATACAGATAAAAGGATGGATTAATTTCCAGTAGCATGATAATTGGCCCCTGAAGAATTATCCTCATCAACTTCAGTTAAAGAGGTATAATATCTGACCATGGGCGTTATTGCAAAGTGAGAAAGATGAGGTTATGAAAATTTATAGAGATGATTAAAAAATGTTAGGTATGTCGAACATTTCTAACATTGTACAAATTGAGTACAATTCTCTGTTTAGAGTTAAATTACGGAAGTGCAAAATTATTCTATCCACCAATCGTGGAAAGGATCGAGACTTATTTTAGTGCTCAGATGCTGGTTGAACTGTTACATTTCTCAGTGTTCATGTTACATAATTTGTTTTAAAATAGAATCCTAAAGAATATATAGTAGTGAAACCAAACCCCTTGGAACAAAGAAAGGCATACTTAAATTTAAAAGGAACTTAAACGAGAGTTTTCTCCAAAACAAGACTAAGAGTTCTTGTGCCTCTTTTACATGTTTAAACTCCCACTGACTTTAACAGAGTTTAAAAGATACAGGAATGGAAGCATGGACAAGAAAAGGGAAAAGGAAGACGAGAAGAATAGAGGCATAGATGGAGTAAAGGACGGGCCAAACTAATAACAAGTTTGGTCACAAAGTCTTACCTCTTTAATTTCTATTTATAAAATATTCTCTTGATACTTTTGGCCTTTATTTACTACTTTTGTAAGGGTATAGAAGCTTAGCTAGATGCAAGTAATAAATCCTGCAAAGGTGATCTTTGCAAGTTAATAAATGACAGCCAGAAGAATCTATACCTTGATATGAAAGTATAAAGCTGGACTGGGAGCAAACACTTCTAAAATGCTACTACAATCATCTATTAAATTATAGGTTTCATTTACGGCCCTTGCTAAGACCCCTAGTTACTAAAGAAAATATGAATATTGAAAGTCATTACCTGGTTGTCAGAAAGCCACAAAGCTGCAAGTTCTTTAAGTTTAGTAAAAGTGAATGGTAAATTCTTCAGTCTGTAAATGATAATATTGGAACAACATGAATCCTTCATTTTCACAATATTTCTTTTAAAGATTTGTATGTAGCATGTTTATCTTGATCATACTGAAATTGCTATAATTTCATATCTTTATTTTCTCACACTTTTTACTAAAATATAGTATTTTATTAAGGGCATTCCACATTAAGAGTGACATTTGGAATCTAAAACTACTGACATCATACCCTAAAGGTACTAAGGAGATACCGATATTTTGCCTTGGCTATAACGTAACCAAAGTTACAGCTTGTAACACAGAAGACAGAAAAAATCTTGGTCCCAGGGAGACCTAAAGGAAAGACCTAACAGTTTTCAGTGTAGCTAACAGAAATCCTTTTATTGGGCATTTAAGTTTTGGAACAGAAATACTCTAAGATTATTGAAAATTCATTTTTGCAGAAATGTTAGGAAAAAGATTAAAATAATATAAATATTCATAGTGAACCTAAACGACAAAATTAAATGAAACAGTTAAAAAATTAGCATTTTAATTATACATATAAACACATTTCCTAGAAGTGATCTGCACGTGGGAATGGGGAAATGAAGACTAGATGCTTGTGGAAACTTCATTCATGTTTTTCCCACTAACTAATTCTGAACATATTATTTTTACTTTTCAGTCTGTACCAACACGAGAGGGCTGTCCTGACCACATACTGATATTCCCCCATCTTTGTGTTACAGAAGGTTAGGGAGCTGGAGGACTGCAGGAAGAAATGGACTGACCAAAGAACTGTCTACAAAGACAAAAGCTAAATGTGATTTAACAAAAAGAAAAGAGGAAAAGCCCTTTTCTGAGAGAGTCAGACAATCCCAACCTGTGGAAAGAAAGGCTCTTACAGATACGCTCACTCACACCTCAGATAAAGACAGGCAATCCACTGTCAGGTACTCCACCTGCATGGCATCATCAGGAGAATCCTTTGCCCCTCTACCAGCAAATAACCAACAATACTCCTACAGTCTTCTTCATATTAAAAATCTATCTGCATTTCTGGGAGATAAGCACCTCACAAGCTTTTGTACCATTGCCTCTGTGCAGCGCTTTGAAAGTTGTACCCATTATGGAATAACTTCAGATGTATTTTTGCCACACATTAAAAATCATGTTATTTCAGAAAGCAGTGTGTACTTACTACAAGTAACACATTTTAAAGATTTTAGTAAGAATACCTTATACTAAAAATGACTTATCTATAAAAGTGAAATAAATTGACATGAATGTATACACATACATAGTGTGCTATGACATAATCTCCAATTAAATGCCTGTACAGATTAGAGTGGTTTTACATGTGTGTGCATGTTTAAACCTAGAATTAATGCCATAAGAAAGTAAGGATTGCCTAAAATACCTGAAATTTAGTTTTCATTCCTGTCTTATCATAAAATGAATACTGCAGTGTGGAATCATGCAGTATGTGACATTCTTTATAAATTAAGGTTACAAGTTTAAGCTCTAATAGTTAACATAAAGATTCTTAAATAGTGTTTATCCAGATGTTTTATTCAGAGCTTTTTTTCTGTATAAAAAGAGAAGAACTTTTGCTTTTCAAGTGATACTTTTATTTCTTTACACTTTAGGATTCAGTACCTATAACCTAAGTTTCAAAACTATATGGAAACCTTTGTCTGCAGAGGGTTACTGGTGACGTTTCCAAGGCACTCAAGTTGAGAAGTGTGTATCAAAGGGAGAAGAAAATTGGTAAGCATGCTTCAGAAATGATGTGTGGCAAGGGGATCTCCAAGCTGGTTTTCCATTTCCATATTCAAACAAAACACAGGTTCTTTATTTTTAATTCTTCTTTGCCAATAAGCCCAGGTACCTGTTTTTAAACATCTGAAAAGTTTTGATTTTAAGGATTCTTTAAAAGAAAAAATCTCAAATTAGAGACCAAAGAATGGAGGCACCCAAAATCATTACTGTTTTTTCAAAATTTTCAACCAAGATAAGCCTCAGCCTCTTTTTCTAATTGCAGGGGTTTTTTGCAAGTTTAAGACTGCTTTTTGAATTGTGTACTGTAGGAACATTCCTCCTTCATCTGTACTAACAATGCACATGCAAACACTCTGACTTTCACGAACAACTGAATTACCAAGTGATTGTGCATCACACCCACTTTCAAAACAAGGCCCATGATAATTGTCACTGACACTATATTAGTTTAACCATGAAAGGTAAATACATAAATGCTTTTCTAGCTTCATCAGCCAAAATAAGGATTTATTGACAGCTACAAAGGATCTCAAATATTAGTTACGCATGGATGTAGGTTGATTACTTTCTACATACTATAGGCCAGACCCTATTTGGTATAAATCAACATAACTGCTGATTTCAAAGAACTAACTCACATCATCCTCAGTAAAGGAGTTGGCCTCCTCTGAAGAGAAAACTGTTCATCAGTAATTGAAAAAAATGATTAATCTGCACTGCTTCCATTGATCTAACACATGACTGCAATCAGATTTCAGTACAAAGAAATGTAAAGTTTATGGCTGTGCTATTCAACAGAGAGCTTTTCTTTTATGCTTAAATGCTGAAACTTCTCACTAGACAGTTTGGAAAATTACAGATGTAATTGTTTTTATAAATCTAAGGGAAAATATATTCACAATACTAGACGAAACTTTAATTGGTGTATAGATAGTTAAGAAGATGGCCAAATTAAATTAATGTGCAATTCAAAGGCAAACTATGCTGTACCAAAATGACTTATTCTTACTATGGATGGTATTTTACTCAGCCTGAATAAATAACCGTTGCATGAGGCCATTTCTCTGCTGGAAGGTGCTGTTTGACTGTTTCAGAGCAACTGTAGCCCAGCAGTCAGGACTGGGAATAGGACTAACAGAAATATAGCCATACACCCTGAACCCATTCCTTCAGGCATCAGCTGAATGGCATCCAGAGACATGAAGTCTGTGGGAAAACCATATCTCTGAATCTTCAGAGCAATTGCACTAGTTCTAACACTTGGCAGCCACCCACCGTGCATGCTTTCTTGCATGAGCAACAGTTTCATTCCTGTGCAATTTTTTAATCACTAATAACTTCAATTTGCAATCTCTTAAACCGATTTGTAAAAAGAGCTGAAAATGTGATAGCCAAATTAAAGAAATCTCTTAGTGCTATAGAGATTATCTGTATTCATATTAATTAGGTTAAATTACAGGTAAAATCATGTATGCCATTGGTAAATGTAAAAGTTTAAAAGTTATTAATAAAAATTTTTCTTTTAAGGTAAATCCTGAAGCACCAACTGATTTTTCAGGAAAACAACTATCCGCAGTAATAGTTTGGAAAAGCATGAAATGCGTATGTTCTTTTTATAGTGTTTAATTTTCACATAGAAAATGTTTTCTCGTGAGAAAAAAGGAGAAGATGTTTCCCCTGAAGTTCCTCAGGTGCATAAAAACAAACCAAACCAAAAACAGCACACACCTAAACATTAAACCATTGTACCATATGACTTCACAACTTCGAAGAAGCTACATGTCAGTGTGTTACACCATTCTGGAATGAGGACTTTAGAATAATTCCTTCCATTATTAATCCTAGATTACATCTCTTGCATAATTTGTTAACTTCTTAAGGGCTAAATACTTTAAGAGTAAGCTAATGAATATTATTCATGGATCACAAGAAGAGCAAAGAAAATGTCATTGATACTGTTTAAATATAAAAAAAATCAAATGTCGATATTTGAGGGGTCTTATGGGGCAAAGGTAGTCTTTGCTTTTATTGTAAGCCTACCAACAGACATGATTTTAACTTTTTTTTCTTGATAATAATTGTTTTTCTCATAGTTTTGTAAATTAACCCACTACGTATTTGTACCAAGTACTAAATTTTGGTTTTGTTATGCCCTAAGTAAGCAAGCTCAGAGTATGGGAAGAATTTCCACTGATTATTAGTTTGAGAACACAACATACAAAGAGCTTACCAAACACCTAGGGGAATACTTTCTAGATTCATTGATGCATATAATATACTTTGGTGATATTCAGAAAGAATTTTCAAATAACCCAAACATGAAAAATTAATGTCAAACATGTTGAAAGTTAATCATAACAAGCAGCATTACCAGTCAGTTGGTCAAGCCCAGAGATAGTTGCTATTTGTGACAGTTCTCCAAGGTAACTCTCAGCAAATTGATAATAATAGGGTTTTCAGAGTGTGAAAGTTTAAAAGAACATGATTCATATTAACCCATTAACATACTGTTCACAAAACTACTCGTGGATATACATGGCCAGAAGTAATTACCTCTTTGGCAATGAGGAATATTGTATAATTAAATAACTAAACAGAAAAAGAAAAGGTACACCAGTGAACATTCTTTTTTTGAATGGATCATGTAATCTTAGGACCTTTTTTCATCTAACTTCTGTGGGTGAGATTCAGAGCAGTAACTGAGTTTTGACCCCAGGACAGAAGCAGAAGCACTACAAATACAGAAAGGTGATGATTCTTTCAGCTCTTCTTTAAGAACAATCTAAAACTAAAAGAAAGGTTACTTACCAGTAACCGATGCTCTTTGAGAAGTGTAGCCCAAATGTACATTCTAACAATTCTACCTCTCAATCACAGGATTCATACCTGGAAGGACTCTGAGGAGAGAGGAGAAGCAGATGGAAGACAAATGTATATGTGGACTACACATTGTGAAGAACACCGGTTACTGGTAAGACATCTTTTTTTCTTTGAATGAATCCCATGTGCACTCTTAACAGTGACTGAATCCAAGCAGCTACCCCCAGTTACTCATTATGTGGTGGAGGTATCGATATCTTTCATGCAAGTAGTAATTGCACAAATACTTTATCAAATGCTGCATTGGTACTTGGAGCACTGGAGACAGTGTTATGCCTGGCAAAGGCAAGGATGAATCTCCAGGTAGCTGCACTGCAAGTATCTGGAATCAACACTTTCCTAAGCCACCTAAGCTCTGGTCAGATGCACACTAGCCCTCATTAGACTCCACCTTTGCAATCTGATAGCAAGTCAGGATTCAACCCATCGTTGCCTTTTATTGTGTAGAGACAACCGAATACCGCATTTCCCAGGGATGAAGAGCCTGTAACAGGGTTGAAAAGATTTGGACCTGTAAAGATAAAAGGAGAGAGGACTCCCAACTTTGGAGATGAGAAGTATATAGTCTTAGAGTGTATGGCATGGGAAAGAAAAGCTGGAGTCTAATTCCCTGGTTAAAATGGAATTCTAACATGAATATTTGAATAAAGTCCTGGAACTAAACCAGCTTCTGGTCAATTAAGATCAGCAAGGTCCATCTTAGAGCAATGAGGGCCTTCAGAAGACATGGAACAAGAGGAGAAGCCTGTAGTAGCTGAAACCATAGTATTAAAAATGCACTGAGAGGGACTCCAAACACTGACCCACCTTTGAGCAAAATGTGTCAACTCACAAAAATTTGAGATTCCTGTTAGCCTGAGTGGCAAAGAGGTCTATGTCAGGTTTGCCTCCTTCCTGAAAGACATCCAATCAGGATTTTAGACCAAATCTCCCAAAATGTTTCTGACTTTCATACCTGGACAAGCTCCAGATAACGCACAGAGGCAGAGCTCTTCTTTTCCTTTTTACATGCTACATCACAGTTGTCCATCACTCCATGTGTGCGTGACCATTCAGAAAGTAGACTGCAAATTTTCCACGCACTCTGGCAAGGCAAGTTCAAAGCCACTAATATCCTTGCACTCTACATGCCTTGAGGCAGAGTGCACTCCCCATGCCATGAGGAACATTTTTGGTGGTAAAAGGGCATCTCTCAGTAAACACTTGAGTAGCCCAGCTACTAGCAGAGAAAGTCACTAGGATAAAGGCAATGACGTAAGAGGCTAATGGATACACAAGTGCACCATTTACAGTCACAGTTGTAGACACTGGAGGTGAAATTTGGCATGTGACAAAGTAGAAGGAGATGACCCTGAGGTATCATTCACTGGGATGAACCTGCAGTGGGCAGATCCCCAATGGAAGACTGTGTTCCCTTTGTAAAACAATACATCCATGACAATCAGCATGGATTGACAGTCATGGTGATGGAGTCTGTTCCCTCTGCAAGGAAAATAACATGCAAAGATGCATGAGTAACAGGACACCTGCCAGAATGGACATGAAATCCTCTCTGGTGTCAGGAGGAGAAAGTCATCAAGGACTGACCAGATAAATTCTGAAAGAATATGCGATCATATGCACAGTCCATCCCCATCTGTTATGTAGTACAGGGAGCAACAGCTGGTCTGCAGAAGATTTGTGCAAACGTTGGAGCTTTCATGCCCAAAAGGCGGCATCAGCAGTGTTTGGTGTGAATGGGTCTGCCTTAGCAGCAGAGCCCACAGAGGCCAGGGCTCAGCAGGTCTTGTAACAGGCTGACAGGGAAAAGGCTGACCCACATCCCAAGACCCAGGAGCCCACCACCGTAGGGTGAAGCACATGACACCTTGGCTCTAGAATTGCCTTTCTGCTCTGCTTGTGTGTCTGTGTCTCTTCTTCCAATGGCTCAAAAGGGTGTCCAGGAAAAGAGCTAGTGTGCTCTACCTTCGTCATATCTGAAGCAGGAAGAGTAGAGGGGCAAAACTATTGTGGTAACATGGAAAGGTTCCTAGCAACAAGCGGAGCCCAAGTACACTCCTTATTAACATGTAGATATGGACTCATTCAAAGAAAGAATGGATATTGCCTTAATGTTAACATGGATGTGAAAATGGGAAAACAGAAAAGTAAAAAAAAAAAAAAAATTCAACATTAAGATGGTATCTGAACTTTGTCCAAACTCTTTGGTGCCAAAATGTTGAAACTTTTTAGTTTCATTAAGATGGGAAGTTCCATAACAAAAGCATTATCGCAAAGCCTCAGCAGGGTAACATTTAACCTCAGCTGGAATTGATATCAACAATGAAGGAAGAATTTACTCCCCAAACCTCTCAAGAAAAGTACATGAGACAATTCAACCACATTTAAAGGTTGAAGGTCCACAGTCTGAGTCAGTTCCCATCTCTCCTAGTCTAGACTGTGCTCTCCCACTAGTTCTACAATGCTTACAACTCGCTGTACTGTTTTTCAGGTGGACTTGAGAGAACAGCTTCCCACCCCAACAGGCAAAGGTTGGTCCCGTTCTCCTGTCCTCCTCACACCTGCTTTGGAGCACAACCACTGTTTACCTTTAGCTGGCTTTGGTGTTTGCCAGACTCCACAGTGAGCAAATGGACTGTGAGGAGTGTAATAAAATGAACACAACAAGAAGAACGATAGCTTCTTCCATTTTCACCGAGGTAAATCAGCTCAGTGGCTTGTCCAGTGAGCCCTGAACAAGCATAAGGGCAGATGCAGGGCTACCAGCCAGCACTGAAAGGGGAGTGGGAAGGACAGCAGATGACGCATTCCACCCCAAGGAACATCACATCATTGGGATGCTGGTCCCATAATTACCTTCCTCCACAATGGAAATCCCAATCCTCTCTATACCTGGACAGCTGGGGTAAAAGGAAGGTGGGGCAGAACTGCTGTTCTGGTGGCATCCAGCTGTCAGGTCAGCTTGGTCGGGACACCTTGCCTGCTCTTACCCCACCTCCACTGCCTCCTCCCAGCAGTGAGCCACCTCCTCCCTCTCTTACCCCAGCTATAGCACTCATAATCAGGAATTACACATGAAGTCACGTGCCTGACATCAGCAGCTGACCTGACTGAAAAGTAACTTGGCAAAATAAAGGCACGGGGCGGGGGCGGAAAAAAAGACTCGTTTTCTGCTTCCTCAACGCAAATTCATGGCACAATTACAGCTTTGAAAAGGGGGCAAACAGAGTGATCCAGCTCAGATTGGTTTGATGTGCCAGGGAAGGCACCCTGCAGTTGCAGCAACTTGGACTCCCAAGAGGCCTGGAACCAGCACTGCCCTGTTGCCTCCCCACTCCTATGCCCACTCTGTGCCTCCTCCGCGTGCCACTACAGCTGGCTGTGCAGCAACAGGGTGGACCAGCCACTGGAAACGTCCATCTGAAAACTCACCATATTCCTGACAGGCTGCTTTCACCTGTATCACTTACGTATTCGAGATCACCATACACCTGGACAAAATCGCACTAGGACAGGACAGGGTATATGGGTGCAGGAACAGTGAGGGGAAGCTGCACTGCCTGAGGGAGTTTGAAATGTTGCCTGAAATACAGTTTCAGGCGCTAGCTGTACAGATAAAAGCACGAACATAGACAGCTGCGAAGACATACTGATGGGAGAGTACTCCCTGTCCCTGGGAAAGCACTGGAATCTGAAACCCAAAATCAAGAGACCCAAGATTTGATTCTGGGACTTGGACAGTTTCAACACAAACTAGAGTTAAGTTTAACTTTGCGTTCTGGTCCATACATAATATATTTTATGACACACAATTGCAATGTGGAAAATTATCTAGCAGAATTAAGCAAATAATTTTAAACAAATATATTACAGGGATTTCTACATTACTTCATTCTATATTTTATGGTCAGCCTTAATTTCAACAATGAAACTGCTGACAGTAAATCAGACACAGGTGTGGAAAGTCCTTCCTCTGATTTTTACTAAGTATGGATGATAATTACTGGAAACAAAATGGTATCCACACACCATTTGTTGCACTACCGAGAAAACTTGTATTTCTGTGGTTACACTGAAAATTAACATATTCTTGGAACACGTATGTATAAATTTCAAGGAAAAGTCAGTCTTTTCTGATGCCTATGGCAGCATGGGATAGGTATCAAGAAAGGCTTATTTTAAGCATTCCATTTCTCAGAGGAAGAGTCATGTGCATAAGAACAGGAGAATCTGGTTTTTTGACAAAACCTTTGCTCTGCTGAAGGAAATAAATAGAAAATTTTCTTCTGATTTTAGTGGAGTCAGAATAACATGCTAGTGTGCTTGCATTTAGTGATTTCCTATATATCAGCTCGTCACAATTTTTTAACCATTAAATGTTACAAAGTTATATACAATTTTAAAGCCAAAATCACACTTTCACATGGAAACACCAGGAGATAAAAGAAGTAAACAGGTTTTAATCTATTAAAACAGACTGAGACCCTGACCTTGGCCCCATTCAAGTTTTTCTTTGGATGTCAGTGCAACTAAGACCAAACCATAAAGATTTAAAAAAAAAAAAAAAATCAAGATTTTTTCCTTATAGTTTAAATAACGTAATTCTAAGAACAATTTTTATATTTTAAAATGTATTTTATATAAATGTATTTTTACAAATACCTAAAAAGAAGTTTAAAATTTTTTTCAAATAAATTCTTATAACGGGTTAGAAAAATTATGTGAACTATACCTGTTATCGCTCAGATTTAACACTCTCAGCTTCTGCATCTGACCAATTTCATCAGGAAGAAATTCTAGCTTGTTAGAACGCAGAGACATTACTGTTACGTTTTTACAGCTCCCAATCTATAGGAATGAAAAAACCAAAGATGTTACAATACCTACCTTGAAAAAATGTATTATCACTACCTTTTTATGTCAGGAGTTGGCCAAATTGTGTTTTTACTATGACAAAAAGCAGAAAATACAGAATCTAAAGTCAGAAAATAATGCCCTCCCTTTGTCAGTAACATCAGGGAAATGCCTAGGGTTACCTGCACTACTCTTCTGAGTGATATTCTCACCTTTACATAAATTTACTAATTTACTGGGTTTATTATTTTACTGTTGAGTATGTAAGAAAGATTTGGTCTTCCACATTGTGCAGAAACAATTGGTTTAACAGGTATTTCGTCTGAGTAGGGGTGAAATCTTGGGCCTACCACAAAACATTTCAATCTGTAATTTAAAAACAGAATCAGCTTCTTACTTCTCTGGGCAGTTCAGGAAGGAAATTCTCATCCACAGCCAATGTCCTCAGGTTATGAAGGTAGCCGATGGTAGAAGGTAAGGACTCCAACTCATTACAGCTGCAGTCAAATTCTTCTAATAAAGATAAACTGAAATTGTAAATACACTTGTTAGATGCTATTCAAGGACTAGATAACAAAAATTAACAATCTGAAACCTCTGAAAGTTTTAAAGCATAACATTACTACAGACATCATGCCCTGAAGAGGGAACCTGTATTGCAGATTTCCCTAGGAGAAGTCTATAATAACACGATTTTACGAACTACGAGGGACACTGTTAATCAATCTTATCCAGTAAGGCAGTTTAACAAAGACCACTTAGTTTCCCAACATTACCATTCTTACATTTTATAGTGAGGAAGTATTCCAAGTACTTCAAACAGATAGTGATCAGGGCAATTCATACTAAGCTGAAGAATCAAACCAAAAAGTTTATAATCTTAACATACAAAGACAGACAACAGGTAAAGAAATACCGCTGGCGAGAGCAAAAGGAAGGGAAGCAGAAATTGCCTCCAGGGTACATTCAACTGATGCACTTGACATCATTTCTAATACAGATCAGCTGTGAAAAAAGATGGACTTGGATCCAAACTCGAAGTAATCTCAGCCTGTTGTAGTCAGACACAGCTTTCGTAAAAGTGCTTATCTTTCACACGTTGAGAAAGCTGGCTAAAAAGTGATCTTCAAAGGGTATCTGTATGGCAAGGACCAAAACAAAGCAGACCAAAGTAAGAAATCTTCTGACACTCAAGTTCTCTCTAAAAAAAATGAAATAATCTCCATTTCTGTCTTGTATCCCTTTTCCTAGATTGTTGTACTCTGTCAAATTGTGAAAAGAAAGAGACCTGACCTTTCCTCCACGTAGCCATGTTTTCAGGAAAGAGGATGAAATAGAGACAGTTGACAGAAACTCCTCTGTTGAACTGAAGTCCAGGTTAGCCATAGCTCACAGTACCAGAGAGCAGTATGTACAGAGAAGGCACAGCTTCCTAGTGCACGGAATTGGCATTCAGTATATTCCTGCATTTTATTATCCATTAAGAGGTTGTGCCCAGAAGATTGCCTGTTTTTTTTCCCAAATGTTTTGGTAGATTTGATAAAAAGTTTACCTCTGCTACAGACCTTGCTCTTTAGTATTTAGATGAGTCACAGCTGCAGGACTGGACCTTCACTGTATGTCTAACTTACCTTTATTCCAGTTTCTTAATTTAAAAAAGGTCTTTCAACCTTCAAATTCTATGAAACATGAAACCAGAAATAGCTATTCCCAACATGGAATTCTCAGAACTTTCCTCTAATTGCTGTATTTCAATAGACTGAAAAGCCGAAGTGAGTCATACAGTGATTAGTGAAAGAGATGCATGGAATATATCCAAAAGCTCTGCCAGGTTTGGTTATAGCTTTTCTTTAATACAAGCTTTGTATCCACCACAATTTATTTCAAACTAGATACAAAACAATTTCAGTGAAGGCAAAATTCAGTCATGTTTACCCACTTCATACAGAATATGGGCTTGACAGAGTGAAGTCCAACTGGAAAGCTTGTTAAATTGCAAGATGCACACATTCTTCCTTTTACTGATGATAACACAACCAGAAAAGCTTGAAAATAGATAAGCTAATTGAGAACTACTATTTTTCCAATGGCAATCAGAAAATCTGATACTCTGAACTGTAACTGTGGAAGTTTCCCTGACAGTGAAGAATGACTTTATCAGACAATAGAATTTTATTTGAAAAGTATTGTCTGGCACAGACATTCTCAGCTTCTTTCCCTCCTGACGACATCAGCAGCAGACAAATGAAGATGGCCACAATAAAAACAACAAAGTCAGTGTGAAACTATATTTTATCTCTATAACTACCACGGTTAAAAAAACCACACACTTAGAAAGTGATTTTTCATTCATCATGGATTGGGCATGAAAGTAAGTTGACAATAACAGCTATAATTCTGACAATGCTAATTTAGCTAAAATATCATTAACCTTACTGTCTTCTTGGGCTAAATTCAGATCATTCTTGATAGGTTTAAAGAAAGGCAGACAAAAATCAGATATGCACCTGCTGTTCAGTTTGGCACCCACTGAAACAAGGCAGTTCACAGTACATCTCCTAAGGTAGATGAGGAATATTTTTAGACAGATGAGTAGAGAGAGATTCACAGAGAATGAAGACTGCCATGAATAAAAGAGTAGTTCCAACCCATCTCAGCCCCATTTCATACAGTCACATACCTCTTCTCCCAACAGCCACAGCACCCATATAACTGCCAAAGCAGCCCAAATCCTAAGAGTTAGCTACACCCACTATTTGCCCAACATCATGCCAAAGGAATTTTGCAGACCCAGGAATACAAGTTTACACTTTCCTTTGCAGCATCTGGTGCTGTCAGATATGGTATAGACTAGACACATGCACAAAACACTCATCTAACACAATACAGTGGCTCTTGAGCTACTGCACCATTACCTATGTATGGGTCACGACTTCCCTCGTGACACCTTCCTACCCACGAAGTGGGAGCATGGGCATTCACCCAGACCCCACAGATACCATCTCCAGTCTTTGGGTCCAACTTGGTACTCAATCAATGTGAATCCAGTGGTTTTATGAGGAATCTTTTATTAAGCTGGGTCTACTGTGCATAGTATCTTGCAGGGTCAAACTCTAAATGCCACTTACAGGCTTGCCCTTTGAAAAAGACTGCTAAAAATGAGGGTGGCGGTTCACTATTAGCAACACCGACTCAGACAGCGTTGAAGTGCTCTGTGTCTCATCACGAAATTGGTCCCCGGAGGGAGAGTTCCTTCCTGCACATTGCTAATCTTCGTGTGACAGTAATACACTCTGCAGTGGGTACTACGACCATCATTTAGGAGAAAGAGACCCAGTAGGAAACTATCCAAATGGATGAGTCAGAGAAAGGAAGTTCATTCTGATGTGGGAGACACTGGCCTCGCTAAATGAAAGTACTTTATTTTAAAAGCACAACCAATCACTCAAAAATAATGTGATAACATTAGGTGATTAGCCTACTGCTCTGCATATACACCATTTAGAGCAGCGGTATGCATCTTCAAAAATGTAATTAAGGCTCCATGACAAACACTACTGAACAGATAATTAGGTTAAAAAAAAAAGAGGGGTTCCCCTTCAATTTGAACAATTTAATAAATAAGAAAGCACCTTCATGACAGGTTTTAAAAATCGACCCCAAAAATTGTTAAAGATAATGTTGGACATTATATCAACCTTTTTGCAGAGTGTCCAGTACAGCTTTGAGCCTTACAAGCTTTCACTGCCTATCAGAATTTATTGCTACACAGTGTTTATAAGATTTCCCCTTTTGTGATTCATATAACCAACTTTTAATACTTCATTTTAATAACGAATGTCACATAAATCTAAAGATACTGCAAGAAGTACAGCATAGTAAGCCAAACCTGAGCTTTCAGTTGCTACAGTTGTAATAGCTCACAAATTTGGATTTTTTTTTCCTGACTGGCATACCAACAACTAAATTATTATTGAAATTACTACTATAAAATGGGTGCAGGAGTAGTAAAGCACTGGTTGTGCAGGTCAGAGATTATTTCTACTCTAGAGATCTCACTGTACTATCATATTTTTGGACAAGTGTAAATGAAGTCTTCTAGGCTTTAATTTTGGAAGCCTCAGAACAGCTCTGGCTTAAGAAAACTACTTCTAATGAAATAGTTTGTTGAGCTGCAACCTGCTGAAGAGAGAACGGTTGAAGAGAGCAAAGGCACAGAGTCTGAGTGCAACTCTGCTTACAGGTGCCCCATTCCCAACATTTCATGCTGACAGCACAGACCTGGTATAAATGGTATAACCATGTGTTCAGTCACACCAGACAGACAATCATTACTTAGGCTGTTTCTTCTGCATGGATGCTACTGCTGGTGCAAGGCGGATGATCAAAACACTAGAGCTATAGCTGTAGAAGGCAGCCATGGACCATGTATTCTGAAATTTTTTCCAAATACCAGTTTACACAGCATTTCAGAAGTAAACTATGCAGAGGAAGAGGCATCCTACAAAAATATCAATGTTAAAGATATGTTTCTGTTAGAAAGGGATATGTGTAGTGTGAAACAATATGAAGAATCACCTATCTCCATACTTGGAGACAGGCTTGCATCCACCTTGAATTTTACAATAAATTGCAGATTCCATTTAGCAATAAGCTCAAGACACACAGCAGTACAAGACAGAATTTTGCACCAGTGATCATGTAATGTCTGACAAAATGATAGCTAAAGGGCATCATTAGTGCTTTTCATAATAAGATTACTTATACGATACTTTCACATTTTGACGTATGCACCTATGAAATTGTCATGACTTTTTCATTTATGCTACTTCAATTTTTAAGAAATCTTCATACATATGAGGTTTACAGCCATTTTCTTTTCAGCATCAAGTACTGGCTGTTGCTATGGAAACAGACGTATTCCCCCAAATACTTCTATTTCTTCTACTTTTGCTGCTCTAATCATCTAAATTGCCAGTGATTCATACAGAAAAATATCTTTGTTCTTTTTCTTGGAAAATGTGATACATTTCATATTCTTACCACTTACGCCAGTATGAGTCCACAGAAGTAATAGTGTTGCTCCAAATTTAAATGTTATAAGCTGGGTGTTAGGCACACAATTTGAAATTATTTTATAATTCAGTACATCTTTGTCTTATTTTTTATTTTAAAAAACCCACATTCCGCAAGTAGAAGGGAAAACACATTTCACTTAATGTTGAAAATCACGAGACTTATACTCACTTTCCAATTGCATTTGGCAGAATTGTAAGTTGATTGTCATCTACTTTTAAAGTTGTAAGCCTTTTCAACAGTCCTACAAAACAGGTGAGGAAGAAGTAATAGAAAAATATTTCACATTAATCTTTCTTACTTTCTGTAATCTCCCATATCCTTAAACAATGATTTCTAACACTGAATAACTTTGATCTAGATTTTAGAAAATATCTGTATATAGGACAGTACACAGACACATTCTTGTCCCATTGAAAATATGTTTCACCAAAATGAAGCACTGATTAAATGTTAAGCTGAACTGCAAGTAAAATATTAAGTGTATTTCTGGAGTCTTGAAAAAAACTGTAAAAAAAAAAAGAATAGTACCTATCTGTGTAGGAAGAGCAGTATTTCTACTTATCTGTTAATGTTGCAATTGAATTCAAGTCCTGTTGCCTTCATTAAAAGGTGCTCAGGTCATAACAGGACATTAGGTGAATTATCTAAAGTAAACGCTACATGTATAAAGCTTCACAATATGTAGGTATAGACAGAAAACCAGAATCAGACTGAGAACCAGAATCAATCCTGAATGCATTTGTATGTGCAGTTAATTCTTATCATTGAAAGAATTACTATCTATCTAAGTGTAAGCAGATGCATAAATGGGTAACATTTACCAAGAAGGGAATGAAACTTCTGCTTTACCACTGCGTAACAGCAGAAAACAATAAAAAAGTAAAGACAGAAAAAATGGGAAAAGTATTGCATTACAGTGCTAGAAACAGAGCTTGAAACAGATTTCCACTGTCTGCAAGTTATTAACATTTCAAAATCTGTTTTTTCCTTGAAAGAATTCTGGATATATTAAAATAGCATTTTTTAAATGATTATTTGTAATTAATGCCGGGAATAATATAAATTAATCACTAATACAGAGAAAAATGTTAAACTGAATATGCCATAATACGAAAGCTGAAGCAAATGAAAAGTGTAATTAAAAGGGATACTAGAAACACTACTCATTTCAATTGCTGAACACTTTTGTTGAAAACTTTTTCAAAGTCAACATGTTCCAAGGAACATCTAGGTTTCAACAAAATTTTCTTTTAAGAGGAAAAAATTCCACCAAAATGAATTTCAGCAAGCTCTCATCTGAAAATGCAGTATTAAAATGACTCTTTTTGCTTTACTTCTGTTAAATCTATTACCATTCAGTAATAGGAATTTGGAAATGAGAACTGAATATATCTAATTGCAAGAATGTACAATTCAAAATGTAAACATTTATTCCTTTTGTACAGGAGCTAAATGCTCTCTAAAAATCAATCTGCATATGGATATCAGAAAACCACAAAAAGCAAAAATTCTAGAATTTATGGTGAGATGTAGAAGACCAAAATGGAAAATAGCTGTAAAAGACATCTAGTAACATTCATGTAGCACAGTATTATTAGTTAGCAATACATTTTGGAGTCTTCACTGAGTTGATTTAGAATTCAGGAATTTCCATGTTCAGAGGGACACGCTTAGGAAAGTGAAAAAGATGATGATGATATAGTGGGCTCATCCACTGGAAGCAATAGAAGAGAGGAAACACCTCAAGTGTTCCCAAAGAAGATATAAGGAGTCAAGACTGAAATGAATTATCCAGATGTACAGAGTGATATACCTACAACCACTTAGCTTCCAGAATTTCTATATATTCTAAATAATTCAGAAATTCTATGCATGAAATATAGTCAAAAAAGAAAATTAATAGTTTGAACTATTTCTTTGCTTAATGCTCTCATATGGAATTGCACTACTAAGAGTAATGCAATGTAACTAAGAGTAGCAATTTCCTACAAGAGTTTAACACTGTTAAAATAATCACGTGTATACTTACTTTCAAATTTAGATCAGATCAATTATACCTTTCTTTGCTTATTTTCTTTAAAATAGTGAATCAGAATAATCAATACCTTCTAACCATGGATTTTTTTCCGGACTTTACAAAATGGTCTTCATGGACTGTCCAGACACAGATGTTTCAAACTTCTTTGGAATTTAACCGCAGTTCTTGTTCCAGCTATTATAAAGTCTCATCATTATGAAAAAAAGATATAAATGAAATCCTCAACTGTAAAAGATTACAAGAAATCCTCAGCCTTTCTCACCTATGGAATCTGGCAGTTGCTGCAACATATTGGATGACAACAGGAGATCTTCAAGTCCTTCACATCCTGATATGTCCAAATCAACAGTTTCTATCCTGTTTTTCGACACATCCAGGTACACGAGCTGTTTTAACTTCCCTATAGACTTAATAGCATGTTACAAAGTGTTACTTGAACAGATATACACTGCATGCCAGTTTCTAAGTTTAATTAAAGACAAAGAGTAATACAGGCTTATATTCGTTACCTCAGCATCCTTTTTACAAGAGTTATTTCACTGAAGCAGTATCAGTAGTGGTCTAATAGCCTTCCTGTTCAGATAACTGCAAAAGGAACTGCACCAAACTAAATGACACATACCAAACTAATTAATGTGTTCCAGATTCATTAAATCTGCTGAAAGTTTGAGTTCTCAGTCATACAGCTGTATAATTTCTTCAGTTGGACACAGATCCAAGGGACATTTACTCACAATTCACATGTACTCATAAAAGCAGTCCTTAAGGTCACTGGGGCTAGACATGCAGGTAAAGCTTTTCTGTGTCAAACTGATTTTCTGAATTTTATAAAATCTAAAATTAGACTTTAGATATTCATAGTTCAATTATGAGCAGTTAATCCCAATTTTGTGAATGCAGTGTTTAACTGCAGCTATAACATCAATGAGCAACATGACAGGAATTCTTCCCTAATTTCTTGGAAAATCTGTGTAGCATGTAGGAGTTTGAAGCCTGTAGAAGCAACCTGCTTCTTGATCCATTATCACAAGAAGGTCACTTCATTCTAGACGTCAAATTTCACCAAGAAAATCAACAAAAAAGATGCTGTTATTTTCCTTAAACTAAAACCTACAAGGGGAACAGCAAAGAGGTATCACTGCTGGGTCTAGAGTAAACGAGCTGGATCTATGAACCAGTGGCACAGCTATGACACAGAATGGAAGATGACACGGTAGGAGTGAGACAAGGCAGCACAATACTGTTACGGAGAGCTACCATGTGGTTACAACATTGTGCATCCACAGAAATACTGTTCCAAACCAGATGAATAAACATTCATGGCCTATGCGGGAACTTCCTTTATAGATTTTGGAAAAGCCATGGCAATCGCTTGTGAAGTGTAAGGATTCTATGAAAGTTCATAGGAGAGGGTTTTTCCAGTTATTTACATATACTTTTAGTGGTTATTTACTGTACACATGAAAAAGGAAAATAGTTTTAGACAGCTTCATCTACAGGTACTTTTTAAACAATATGAAAATAGCTTGCTTTTCATCTCCTACCTTACTGAGATCTGCTCTCTGCTTCTAAGGAGGCAGCTTCTTGTTATCTTTAATCACTTCTAAGTTATATAAAGGGAAAATCTCCCTTTCACCCCAACCTTTGCCATTCTACCATATTAATAGTTGAATACAATCTTTGTTTCTAGCACAGACTACTTTTTTAAAAACTGAATTATTAACACTGGAAACCTGGCAAATCTCTAAATCTTAAAATTAATGACCAGTTGGTATTTCCTTTCTATTTTTAAAAGTCAAAGTTTAAAGCTAATATTAACTGTTTTAAACCTCTTGTTCTGGAGCAGGCTTTCGTAAAGCATCATCTAGGGTCTACTAGAATCAGGTTCAGGAAACATTAATTATTCACTGAAAATAATTACGCTCCTTGGGATTCAGTTCCACGATCAATGAACATCTTCAACTCTAAATACCCCCTCCAGGGATTATGAGCAGGACTGTGTTTGGAACACATTTTAGCACTGGATATATCAACGAATTTCATTGTGAACAGAAAAGAAACAGAATAATGGTTAAAATGTTTGTGCCCACACTGTCTTGTATATCTTGAAGAAGAAATATCTTGATATTTCTTCTACTCAGTTACACTGCAGCAACAATACTGCAATATTTCTGCTCTTGATTTCCAGCTGGTTTCAGTATCAAGAAGTGGTTTCAACATCAGCTTTTCTTTTCAGTAACAAAGCACTCAAAAAGTGGATATTTGGACAGTGACTGAAAGTGATCCTTTTCTGTGCAAACATCCTGCTTAACACAAAATAAAAATGAATGTAATCTATTTAAGAAAAAATCAGTCATTGCTCAATGCATAAAATTGAATTTTGATTAATAAATGTTCAAAGCTGAAAGAGGAAGTACTTCTTCTTCTTCTTCTTCTTCTTCTTCTTCTTCTTCTTCTTCTTCCTCTTCTTCTTCCAACAGCTAGACATGTTTGTGCTAGATCTAGTTCTAAATTTTCCCTGCGGCAATGAAGAGCATTATTGTGTGAAACACATGATCTGTCACCTGTGTGATAAAATGCTAATGACAGGGGTCCCTTTCCCCCCGCATAACCAGTGTAGGTATTTCAGAGTGATAATCTCAAATAATTTATGGCAATAAAAATTGAAAATCAAAGTTCTAATGTGGGGTAGCAACAACTCAGAAACAGCACTAATACATAATCATGACCCCAATGTTTAGATTTTTAAGTATTTTTTGTTCCATTTCTAAATGAAGTGCTTTCTAGAGGAATATATCTTCATTCCACTGCCTCAGAATTGCTTTTAGTATAGTTGAATCTATACATATCATCTGTTATTTTTAAGTTTATTTAGATTAGTTAATATTTCCTCTTCCTTTTTAAAACTCATGTGAGTTTTTATAAAACTGCTAGTTAATGCATGGTGACTGAGAAGACAATAGGAAATAATTTCCCCTCACAATGAAAACTACACAATGCTTAAATAAAATAGGCACATCTCCATTTAGACATTATCATGTAATAATACAACATTGAAAAGGCTTTCATATGAATGGCTATGCTGAGACCTTTATTTCTTGATAATAATTAATGACTATATGAACTAGGAATATGTACCCATTCAAGAAAATGCACATGCATATATTTACTGCAAGGTAAATAGTTCACTATATCACATAGTAATTTGATTACATAAAATAAATGTTCATACCCCAGGTAGTATTTGCAAAGAATTATTGTCCATCCACAATTCCTTTAGATTTTGTATTTGTTCGAGAACCTCAGGCTGAGGAAAAGAATATAGTATTATGCACAGTTAAATAAATCAGTATTTTTCTAGTTAAATATAAATCAATATTTTCTTAAAAAAAAGATGCTCTCTTCACCGTCACACATCAGACATCAGACCTTCAGATAGTTAATGACATGAACAATATGCTCATTTCGTTTCATTTAGCCACTGTTGCTCTTTTTCAAAACTTGTAAAATTTAAGAATCCTTTGGAAGAGAAACGTATACAAAGAACTCCTCCTTAGACGTTCTTGTTCTAAACAGTCTACTGGCAGTATGCAATTTATGAACAAGGCAAATAAGAGAAGTGAGAATTATGGAGCTTCAGAAATAATGCATTGAAAAGAAAAAACAAATCTAATCTTGCAGCACATGCTAAACTCTGCCTTTTACATGATTTATAGTCTTAAAAATAGCTTAACAGAGGCATATTGCTGAATACTTTTCTGGATATACTGCATTTATGTACGATTTAATGTCTGCAGTTGTCATATTCAGTAGTTAAAATAGTGGTATGCAATGATCAAGCCTTAAAACTACAATATTAAGCTTTAATCTAAGATGTTCTATTCTTTTCAACACTACAGGGTATTAGTGAAACTGAAGAAGGCAATTCCCCAAATCATTTCTCACTCACTACAGCTGTGAAAATCACAAATCACAAAAATTACAAATATTTCTATGTTTCAGCCTAAGCAGTATTTTTCTTTTTCATGAAACGCTATTTTCACATGTAAAACAAGACTTTCAATTTGCCTTAGCTGTGCGGAAATTTTTCTCAAAGTCTGGCAGAAACTGATGTTAAATATTTCATTTGCTTCTGACTAAATCAGATTCTAGCATTTTAAAAGTCTTTAGTACTATTTCACTGGAATTATTTCAACACAGCTAGAAACAAATGTATCTGTCTAGCATCACAGGACCATGAGAGAGATCTCCAATTATCTCCTGTGGTCTAAGTTCCTTGGAGTGTTGTAATTCCTGTAAGAAATATGATTTTCCAGTTGCCCAGGTCACATGGTACATAATGGGAGAAGCTCCCGATGCATCATCGGATAAGAAAGAACCTGCTAATCTGGAGAGCTCAAGCCCTCAGTTTTCCATGTTGTTACATAAAGTGTTTCTATTAAAAAATGATTAGACAATAAAAGATAATTTATTTTGCCTTGTCTAATTCTATTGAAATTTTGTTGTCCTTCAATGGTTAAAACCACTTCTAACTTCCAGGCTAAATTAATTAATGGTCATTTTATAGTATTTGTTCCTGTGATGATTAATGGTTTGTTATTCCTCCAGAGTGTTCACTGACCAATGTTATTACAGATAATAATAATTTCCCCTCTCAACTTTAATTTTCTTTTAAATTCTTCTCATTAGACAGACGCCCTTCTCAAAGGCAACAGCCTACTCCTATGTTGTACATATTACAGTTTGATTTGAAATTTCCTGAGTATGGATTATGGCATATCATAATTCAGATGAGATCTCACTAATGTTTTGATAAGTGGTATTAAAAACTTATTTGTCTCTGTTAGAAATGCTTCTGACGCATTTTTGGAGAATATTTTCCACGTAGATTGCTGCAATTAGAATAGAATAGAATAGTTCAGTTGGAAGGGACCTACAACCATCATCCAGTCCAACTGCCTGACCACTTCAGGGCTGACCAAAACTTAAAAGATATTATAAAGGGCATTGTCCAAATGCCTCTTAAACACTGACAGGCTTGGGGCACCCACCATCTCTCTAGGAAGCCTGTTCCTAGGTTTGACGACCCTCTCGGTAAAGAAATGTTTCCTAGTATCAAGTCTGAATTGAAGACTGACATTAACCTTTGGTAAAAGTATATTACATTTTATCCTCTTTCCTCTTCCTTTTCTCCCCACCTTTAACTATTTTCTTTCAAAATTTCTTCTAAGGCCTTGCTGCTGGCACCAGACTCCTAAAACTCTGGAAAGGACTACACCAGCCTTCCCCCTCCTTTCAGGCAGAGGTACTACAATTGCTGTTTATCATTTGTTCCGTGCCATTTTTTGACACTTCAAAGATTGAGAGATTTCAAATCCTTGACTCATACCTTGTGATTTAATGCTCCAGTTTTCCCAGAGACCTGTGACACAGATTACCTATTCCCTTCCTTGATTACATTAAGCCATTTGAATATGGCTGCTATTTAGGAAGTGACAACTTCCATTTTAGGAACACATACCTATCTCAAGATTTGTACAATCTTGTTTCCAGAAAATGAATGAACGGAATTACTTCATTTTTGCAACTACCTTTATTCTTAACCCCATGCCTATTGCTCCAGATTGTCTGCCTGAAAAGCACAGTCTCCCAGTGCAAAGGGAGGGACTTCAATAGTCCAGAGATGGACTGTCAAAGAAATTAAGCTCTTGCACACCACCACAGTTCTAGGCAGCATTTTTCTCCAGTGAGAAGGAACCCAAATCAGATTTACAGAATCCATGAAAACAGGACCTTTCAATCCTTTTTTCCAGGTGATCTCGATTTAAACTAGTACTTTTCCTATGACATTTCTGCAGATTCATGCTGTTCCCTTGCCTTTTGGCCCATTTTGTTTCTGGCATTTGATTCTAGTTCATGCATTTTTGGACGAGCTTCCTGAAAAATGAGTCAACTTGGGGAGTCTGGTCCTAATAGCAGTACGGGGCCATTGGACTCCTGATTTATCATTCTTAGGGGACAGTATGCTATAATGCAAAAATGTAGACTGATGTTGAAGTCATTTAAAATAAAAACTACAAAACCAAACCACACCCAACCCACCCCCAAAAAAGACACACTCTGAATTCAGGAAGCATATATATATTTCTTTTGATCAAAATTCCAAATACCACTTCTGAGAATTTCATTCTATTTATCTACGCAAAAGATTTCTAGTTTTAATTAAAAATCTGAGTTAAACCCATCTGTTTTCTCCTACATAACAGTATAAATTAGTAAACATTAACAGGGTTATAACCACAATGGTAGAAGACAGTGCACTGTCTATAAACCAGATGTAGACTCTTTAGAATCATAGAATCATAGAATCA